CTTAGGGCATACTGCCTCAACATTTTCTTTAATTGCAAGTTATAGCGCAGTGTTAGCCAAACTATAATTATGGTGCTTTATGATGTTCTGGCATTTTGATGCATCAATATATGCTAGGCAGTAATAGATCGGGACTCCACCCATAATTTCGAAGCCCCTATAAAACTTGAAGTTTATACCTTATGTATATAGCTTGCAAAACATTCGAAATGTCATTGTATGTGAGTGCGTGGTTGTGTGTGCGTGTGATGTGCGGAGGTAATGCCGTGTAATAGGCGTGTCATGTATTGGTGGTATCGGTTCCACTTTTTGGTCCCATGAAGGTTTTAGAAGTGTATTATTTGCAAGACGGTTCTTATCTTGATACGTGCAGACCTCTTTCGGGATAAAGAGAGTAAATAATATAAGAACTGTGACTGATAAAATTACTTTATAATAATGACAACTCCAAGTTCTTCACAAAGATATAACCTCTGCCTATTCAAACAGGCCTGAACAAAAAGTCTTCTTTGAGGGTTCACAAAATGTAATGTATGATAATGTAGGCTTATATTAATGTTTAGCATGGGTAGAACGATAGCAAGTCAAAGAAATTTAGCATCTATAACATAATTTTGCTCCAAGAACTTCATATTGTATGTACAGTCTTTTTCTGATTCCACATTTCAGGAAAAAGGGGCATTGAAATCTGACACAGTAACCCACGTTCGAAATAATGAAAAATTCGCCCCATAAGGCTCGCTTTGTCCAAAAGTCTCGACATTGACAAAACAACAATAGCTCTTTGACAATTTCTGACTTATTGCGGTTAACGACAATAGTTGTATATACAATGTAGAACTGAAAGTCCGTGGTACAGTACGTGAAACAGTATAAAAACAGAAAGCAAAATAACTGCGAGAGAAAGACAGAATATTGCAGACATGCTATAGAGCGTCAATTGGTTGAATTGAATTGGAGAATCTATTTATAACACATATTGTTTCAGTTGGCACATCAAGACACTAGAAAGTCACATATTTACACATATAACATAAAACGCGTAAAACACAAATTTTACAAAGCAAGTATTTTTTTTATTCCTAAATAATCTAGTTGATAAATATATATTTATACATGTACATAATTATTGTGTATCAAAAGAAGTACAAGCGTGTCGATGTTAAAAGGGGGTGCTGAAATTATATAAACCTTTTTAAAAATATATTTATGGCATGTTAGAATACCGGTCGCCATTTTTTCTTCTTCTGAGACGACATACCAGTACATTATAGGTGAGGTTATACATGTTTGTATAGGTGTACAGGGTTCATATTATCCAAATGCAGTAAAACGAATAAAAACTGAATATAACTGAACTTTACATAGGTTTATGAATTATTTACACAATAATTGAACTGTGAGCTTTTAGACATTCAGTTGAAACACGGCATGTACGAATGTACGCCTTGTTTGATTAAGTATATAAAGCTTTATATTAAAGGGTAACTTGGGCACGGGTCTATCAGACTTTATCACATACGAAAGAATGAAGGAGAAAGAAAATCTGGAATGTTATCCCCCCCACCCCCCCCCCCTCCCCCTGCAAAAACAAATCTACAAAGACATTTTTTTTCACGCTAAATCGTCCTAGTATTTTTTTTTATTATTTTTAATCAATACCGAATATTGTGGCGTTTTCAAATTTCGGCACAACCTAATACGCCTATTTGCATTTAATGAAACAAACTTTAATCTGGGTAACAAAACCGTCATCCCATGCATGCATTGTCTTGAAATTCTTGACTACATCCTTATTCTTTCTTCTCAACTTGCTGGGTTTCCCCCAGTCGAGCAAATAATAGATAACATCAAACGATATACATTCAATTTGATATCTCTCATCATTGTTTAACTTCCGTAATCATTTGCTAAATCATTGTAAATAGGCGGACACTGTTTGGAACCAACCTTTGTTCTTAATAACCCCTCTTAAATTTCCATCGAGATTATGAATTGACGGGGTCTTCGTGCAATATATACTCAACATACATGTAATCACAGATAAGGCAATTAAAGTCCAAACCTGAGAGTTGTTGTTTAAAGTGAACATAAATCGTTCCTCGTTTAAATTATACCGCAAATTTGGGGAGGAAAACTCAGCATAAAAGGGAAGAAATTAGCTTATACACGTACATTTATTAACCATTTACTACACTTTTTAATAATTGTATAAAAATAGCCATTAAAAAACACACGTTCGTTCTCTTTCATTCAAAGCAAGGAACGTCTGGGTATTAAAGAAAATATATATTTTTCGTATATTCGGGAAAGCAAAATAAAACAACAATATACACAAGTATTCAATAATAAAAGAGGAACAATCTGAGTTGCAAAAGAGTCGTAGAGTACAAAAGAGTCGGAATAGGTCTACAAAGAATGAGAAAACAATTAAAGATTAGTGAATAATACGAACGTGCTCAGTATATACAGATTAATACTAAAATAGACATATCTTAAGTACTCCATATCTGATTCATAAGATCTACATAGTCCTATATTACCTATATATGCATACTGTATGTGATATATCATCTTTATACAATTTCAGCAACATTCCCAAAAATATTATAATTCATCATCCTTTTTTTAAAAACAACTTTGATCATGAAGGAATAAGATAAAAACTGATCTGTTTTTCTTAGAACAAGTCTGAGCTATTTTGTCCCATACGTTACTTATATATCTAACATGTAACAATATTTAATATGAAGTGAAACGACTAATTTGATGTCAATTTATGGTCAGAACTCGGTAACGTATGGGACTCCAAATGTCATAATACTTTAAACTTGCCTTTCTCTGAACAATATAACACTTATTTTATGTACATGTGTAGTGTATACACCTGGCAAGCATATAAATTGAAGACTAGAAGCAAACTGCACCCTCCACAAATTCTACTGTTATTTTTAAATCATCTTTGCATATTCGACGTCATCTCACGTAATTTTTCATGTCCTCTGAGAGAGAAGTTGTGAAAAATTTCAATTTTCTTTTCTTCTTCCAAATCACATCTACAGTACATACGATCAGGAATCCGTTCTGCTGACATGAGTCACATGACATCAGTTGACCAATCATGAGTTTAAGGGTTGTCAGCCGTAATCTTGGAGAAAGAATTGTACATTACACATGTAATATCATTATTAGAAAAAATGTATTAATTGTGTACTACAATAGAAGCTCCGTGGATGACCTCAACACTTTCTCAGATTGATGAAGATCAATTTTTTTCTCACTTCGCACTTCTGGTACAAATTAATCATCATTGGAAATCGACATACACATGGACATTATAATTAATTTGTCATTTTAAGATATGAACAGTGAAATACATGTACATGCGTTTTTTTTCATGAAAAGACTTAATGAAATACACATACTAATTAATCATTAAGATAGTGAATGATTATTGACAATTAAATGACATTGAATTGCCATTCAATGAATGTGTATATAGCCCTACTGGATTAACAGAAATCCAAATGTTCTTTTCCCATGTTTGAGTAATAACAATTCTGAGTAAAAGCGGCCACGTCATTCTACGACAGGTCATAATCAACCTGTAAATTCCACCTGTTGCAGTAATTTAGTTTACACAGATTAAAGACAAAGTTGAGTCCTGGTAAAAATTTCTAAAATTTTTGTGAACATATTTATTTTCTTAACATGTCAGTTTGGAAGAAAGAATATCATAGTAGGCAAGTGCCCTCTTATCAGAAATATGATGAAAAATAGCTGACGAGTTTAGACCCAAGTCATTTGGGTGTAGTCCCGAATGTTCATTTATGTGAGAGGTTTTCAACGAGCAGTGTAGATTTCTTTTCATCATGATCATTCAAAAACCTACCTGTATACTTTAACTATTATTAACTACATAAGCAACTTTTACCCAATTGATTCAATACAGTTTCTTGTACGATGTTAAACGCAAAACCAGTGCTCAACTTTATCTTTAATGGCAAACACAATTGTAAAGTTTGATCATATATCATATCAATAACTTTTACTAAAATATTTAAAAGCAAACCCATGCACAAAGTATGATCATATCATATCAATAACTTCCATTTAAATAATAAATGCAGGATACCTTTATAAGCACTTACCTAGAGGCGTAAGTAGCGAGCAGACATTTTGCTAATTATTTTACACATTTGCATTAATTTGACTAAAAATGTCATACTTTCTAAGAAAGCTGAATTACACATGTTATCAAAATCTGTTGCTCACTTGCTCTAGTTGACATTTGAACACAATTATTTTTTTAATCACTATAAGCAATGATTACATGTATATCTTTAATGCATTTACTGTACATGTACACTTAGCTTTAGTCACTTGTAATGGGCAGATGAATATAGATAATGAATAATCATGAAAAAATAATGGGTTCTAGTATGGCATGCAACATTGATTATCATAACAGGCTTTTTAAGGACTAATATTCATAGAAACACCCTGCAGTGCACATGCATCTATTTCAGAAGTTCTGCTGATATACAATATCTCATGCATACATGAATGAAATTCCTCAATGGAAAATTTCTTTCCTATTTGTTTTCTACTTGATCAATTCCACATGTGCAATAAACTTGATAAAGACCATACTTTGCATACCCTTTCCCACTACCTTTAAGAATCATGCATCATCGATTCACTGCACAATTGTAAATTCTAAATAAATAAGATTAAAGGTCCTTTCATGAATTTGAGAATCAATGATACAATACAAAACATACTGAATGTCTTTTGAGATTTCTTTGTATTTTGGCTACATATACCATACTCTTCTTTATATACATGTATGTGCAAAAAATGTTTTAGGCTGCCTATCAAATTTACAATTCTGTTGATTGCAATAAGTCAGCTCATCATTAAAGGCACATAAATGTTTGTTGCTTAAGGTAAAGCATGAGGAATCATGCACATAAACTACAAAGATTGTAGTCATTTGTTCACATTTTCCTTCTTGATTTTGATTAAAGTAATAATCCTTGTTATAATCCCTTATTCTTCATTTAAAAGTTTTCTGGCTATGTATGTAAAGTAACTAGAGCTTACTTGCAATTTATAACTACAAAGCAGTGCTTGACTAAACTACAAAATAATAAATGGGTGATTAAATTATTTTTACGGTTACCTGCTGGCTGCCAGAGACAACATAGGAGTCCAATCCATTTTTAACGCTATAAGACACATAATTAAAAACATAAATATACATACATTTGATGCACTAAACAACTGAATATAAAAATCGATCACACATTTCAATTGCAGCCATTTCTTCTTCCACTTTTAGTAGTTGATGTTTAAGTATATTACACAAGGAAATTAAGAATTGGAGCTGCCTCTTCTCAACAAAAACCAATCCTGACACAGTGAAGTTGAAGACTCTTTTGAATTTTTTTTTTTACTAAAGAAAACTTGGACAAGTAGGCCTTCAGAGAGGACTACTAGCTGGTTGCCCCATTTCAATGTCACAGCAAGTCTACAGACAATACATCCATAGATATGATATCTAATATCAATGGTACAATTTACTTTTGTAGAATACATTTTGGTTTAAGTGTGAGAGGAGGAACACTTAACGGATGATCCTCATCATTAGAGTCCTGAAGTCAAGTGATTTAGGAAAAGATCGATCAAAGTGTATCAAATGAATCCAATATGAAATTTAAAAGGCAGATGGAATTTTTAAAAGCGGAACTTCATTATATTTTTAATATTTGTTCACGTACATGTATTTTGTAATGTTCTGGCTGGATCATCCGATGCACATTCTTGGAAGAACACTAGACATAGCACATTACACCCTCTTCCCCGCCACACCCGACTACCCCATTCAGATGACCATAGTCGCTGGTATCATAGGCACACATCCATGGAAGATACTAAACCAGTGTTATATACACCTAGCACATATGATTTGCTACAACCTACATTCCGCATGCTCTTGTAGCCCAAAGATCAATTACCGACTTTCAGACCGAGACATCGTGCTCTCGATTGTTGGACTTCCGGGTCGACTTCCCGGTGCTCTTGGAGCTGCGGGTGGTACTCGAGAACTCGTCATCGGCAGCCCCGTGGCTCTCTGCCTCACGAACCGATCGTGGCCTTACCTGGGCATACACGTCATCTTCGACTCTCGGGATGGTGCTGCTGCCATCTGTGTTGTCTCCTCTGCCTGCAGTTCCATTGCCTGCGGATCCATTGATGCGGGGTCGGTTGTTCTCTCGGACGGCAGGGTAGGTGTTGAAGATAGTGGAATTGACTGTGCCGTGCTTCTTTGGCTTGGGGTGAACTCCATTACCGGCTAAAGAAATATAAAAATGCAATGCTCATTACTCATTGAACTACATTTATGTGTGCCCTAAGAGGTATCTAAAAGATGTATACAGAAAGGATTCAAGTTACACCCTTCTGTCTTTCAGCACATGATATGTTTAAACCTACCTTTTTCACATGATTTTCTTAAGACAAAAACAAAAATGTGTAAAAGTTCACTGCAAAATTGTTTTAGCACTCGTAACAGTTTTTATACACAGCTCTTTTTGAGTATTCTTGAGCTGCTTTTTTCCTCTACTCTATTCTCTGGTCTGTAAAACCATATTCTTTCACCTCACAAGACCTATCAAGTCCTCAGCGGTCCAGGTCCCGCACTAAGATTCTTTGTTATTTCAACCATGGACCAAACACTTGCCCTAACCCTAATCCTAATCTAAAAACCAATAAATCTACCTCCACTGTATTTATGAAATAAGGCCTACATATGCAGGAGCAATTCGTCATCGATATTATGAACCAACAAATCGGTACAGCAATGACAAATTCATTGGTTCATAATAACACCAACAAAATTTTCAGTGTACCATCAGTTCCAAAAGTGTCTTATCTAGGCCTACTAAGTACATCTCTCAAACAGAAGACAGGACAACTTACTTTTGCCATTCTTGTAGTAGTCCGAGAAGTGCATGTCCATGTAGAGCTTGCCTTGCTTACTGGCCAGTATGAAGGCGAGAATGGCCAAGATGAAAGCATCAAAGACAGCGATGATTGCAAGAAAGAAGACCCATCGCAGCTCACAGCCTTTGGTGTCGGTGTAACTGATGGTGTCCTGACAGAGCGCTTTGTAGGCAGAGTGTTGGCTCCAACCGCTGGGGTATATCAGAATTCCAAGCAAAAGGCAGATACCTAGAAAGATAAAACGGTAAAAGGTAAACATTTTACTACAAATGTTTTTTCATTTGTTAATTAATAATGTGTTCTTCATGGAGGGTAGCCTCTTTAGTAGATTTTAAAAAAACGCTTTGCAAGCTAGAGATTTAATTACAATGTAGAACAAGAAACAAATGGTAAAATATTACAATGGATAAAACAGAACAAGAGCAAAAATATAAACTAGCAATGGAAACAAGTATTAGACTTTTGGTTGTGATGCACAATTTGTTCATTCTCTTACAGCACATTCAGAGTGAACATCTAAGTTAAATGTATTTACCATGATTTTACAGTGAAGAACTGCCCCCCCCCCCCCCAATCAAAATTCAATATAATAATCTTTACTTGTGAATATTCAATATTGCTTATTCAGTGAAGTACCATTTGTGTGAAGCATTGTAATCTATCATGCTATCCTCTAAAACAACTAGGATCATAAAGCAGCTGGTTTCAATTCAACGTGAATTTATTGGACTGTTTAAAACATGTACAGTATATCAGCCAGCCCGATAGAAACCTGACCTTGAACCTGAATTTCGGCATAACAAAAAAAACGTAAAGAGAAAAAACAAGTTTAAAGATAGGATAGAAATTGGACAAGAAAAACAAATCATTCAACAATCAAAATGAAATCTTTAAAAATGCAGTTCTAACTTCAGAAGAGGCCTGACTTTGCTCTTTACAGATTTTCCATCAAGAAATATACAGATTTTCTTGTAAAGTGTGTGATTTTTCCGGAGCGATTTGGAGCTCAGACATAATATTGTAATACCAATACTCTTGAAGCTCCTCTTTACTTTCTTACAATTTCATTGATAAGCTCCTACTGTAATGGACAACAGGTGGTACCGCTTTATTATTTGTCTTAATGATAAAGATAATACTGACATTTAATTCAGATTGGCAGATCATAAACGTACAGAAACAGTTAGATACTGTAGGCCTTACCAATTCAACACAGAAAGGAATAAAGGATAAAGTGTCATAATCAGTACAGTTAAGCTGATATATTTCCATATATTACATGAAGAAAAACAACTTAAATAGGCCTACACATGTTAACCATATTGTTGCCTCTATTTCTATGAAACCTACATACATACATGTAAATTATACATGATCACTCAGACGATCAGATCACTTTAACAAAAAAATGGTGCAAACAATTTATGATTAATGTATTCGCATTACCCACTCACTCACTAATTCATTTACTGATTATTGCTTGCTATTATACTAAGCCCATTAGTTCAGTGTGAGTACCGTCAATTTGAAAAATATTTGCGAGAACATTAAGGAACAGATGGTCGCATGCAGGCAACGTTCTCTCTCTCTCTCGAGACTCCCTTTAGTATGATGCTCTTTTCACAATACAAACTCCCACATCATGAAATTCAATGGCCTGATTATTTTCCCTGCATCTCGTATCCATGGTTACCAACCCCATAAGCCATGATTGAACAAGGATAAGATGTTATCGGGTTTGCAATAAATGTCAATTCTAATGAGATTCCTGAAATGATCCAGATGAAGGTACAGCATTTAGATATAATGTACCAAAATTCGGACAGTGACAACAATACGTAGAAATTCAAAAGAAAACACAAATTCATAAGAAATCTGCTTCATAAATATGCCTATGATTTTTTGAAGCAGCATATATTACCATTTACAAGCATAATTTATGTTGCCAAGATAAATATTTTAAGTGAGAATGATCATAACATCATTCATTGTCAATACATCAATACATTTATAAGCAAATCACTTTGGATATATATTTGTGTGTAACTTCAAAAGAAAAATATAAACTTAGGATTGACAAAAAACAAGTCTTTTTCAATGAATGAGTAATCAGAATCATTTGAATTGTAGAAACCATTAAATCCCCTCAAACTGCTCAAAGGTAATAAGTCCCCAATTAATTCCAGGACCAAACTAGAAAATTTCCCAGTTGAAGGTCTATTTATAATTAGAGATTACAATGTACATGTCGGAGATATACATGTGCATGTAGACCAGGCAATCAGGTATGTTAAACTCTTGAATGTAATCCTGTGATTTAGAAGATACATGCATACACTGTAGACATTTAAAAAAACCATTTGAAAATAGGGTCATGCATTGATCAATGTCTAATATTAACAAAATATATACTTGGTGTTGGTGGTCACTTCCTTGTTGGTAATTTTTTTGTGAATGTTGCAAGTGTAAATGGCCTGTTTATTTACTACCCTTTTACTAGCTGAGATTTGGGAGTAAGGAGCTTTCGTTTGTTAATAATAATAATACATATTTTGTAGTGCCTCTTTTGCATTTACAAACTGTATATTTTGTTCATTATTTTTGTTTAACAAAACTTTCTACTATACCATACAGGAAAAATAATAATTTTACCAAGACATTAAAAGAAAGAGATGCGATGAAATTGGCAACAATAGTCAAATTTGACTAATAGCCATTATAATACCAAACGAACAACAACAAAAATATACAACCCTACATGTACATTTATGTTTAAGGTATTACATATTGCACTGTACATGTTTATGTCAGAGAAAAATTATAATTTATCTTCTTTCGCAAGAAATGAAATGTTTCTTCTAAACATAACAAACAATACATCTGCACATGTTCAGCTAAATTCAACATCCATCATAAATTAGGTTTATCTTTTCAATAATGGAGTAACATTTATGGCCACTTCCAACAGCTAGCATCATCCATTTGAAATTTGCTCTATCTTGAATAGTTAGAATAAGACTGCAGATTTAGTTCCTGAGACTATGGTGAACGATTTTACATTACATTTTTAAAAGTGCCCTTATATTTGATGAATTTATAAAAAGCTCACATATTAAAAGATTTATATATTTCTCATTATCGAATGATAATACATACGGTAACTACAGTACTTAGCCGTGTAGGCCTACACTGTAGGCATATGATATAGGCCAATACATCGTTCATATAATAAAGATAAATCTATTATACATCATCATTTGATTTAAATGAAAGCCAATATGTACCCCCCAAAAAACTGGGGGGACTATTGCAAAAATAATGTTACTATACTATACCTGAAAGTAACTGGAAAGCTCCGCAAATGGCGAATACAGTTCCCGTTTTTAGGGGGCTTTTGCAGAGAAAAAGGAGCATGGACACAATGGATAAGGCCACCAAAATAACAGCAATTCCCACGAAGACAGTCGCTGCCACCATAGCGGGGACGACTTCCCCATCGGCCCCTCTTACACCGGCGAAGCCAAACACCCCTCCTTCGCATGAGGGCTGAGCCCCCGTCGTACCGTAGCTCGTGCAGTATCGGTACAGTCCAAAGTTCCCTATTCCATTGGCATTGGGTCCATCACCGAGCCAGTATGGCTGCACAAAAACCACCAGGACTATGATGAAGAAACATAGAGTAAAAATGGCCCAGGCGATCGCGATGGCGCGGGCATTTCTGATGTAATTTGTGTGGTAGTAGTAAGCATAAGTCTCTTCCTTCGTTTGTTCGTTTGCCATCTTGAGTAGATGTCGTGTGCCCTAGATTGTTACAGCAATGAAAAACTAGATGGCGACAAAATATTGGTACCACTTGCAGTGTACCGCATAACCTGTTGTTCTGAATCTGGATACGAAACGAATGGTGTGTTTACTTTGCTGGCGTGCGAATTTGACGAAGAGCTGTGAGAAGAGCGCCACACTGAACGCCCTGTGAACGTGCATTCCTTTGATCTTTTGTTATGCTAATTAATCTGTCGCATATAGCAGTTCATATTATATATATATATATCTCGTAGTCGGTAGAAGGTCGTAAAATCCCCAAACAAGAAGATTACCAGGGAAGGCTCTCATCAAAATATCTGTATTCAATCTATCACAATCATCTTTTTATATACTGCGCATTTTCCGCCTGGTATTCTCTTCTCTCTCTCTCTCTCTCTCTCTCTCTCTCTCTCTCTCTCTCTCTCTCTCTCCTGTTTCTCTTCTATTATCTCTCTTATATGCAACATGTTTGTCTGTCTGTTTAGTGTGATCCCATGCACATATCCAAAGAAGGGAAAATAGTATTAAGCATGCATGCGTATTAAATACACAGCTCTATATAACTGCATCATCATAACTTCGTCATCATTCATCATTGTTAGGCCTTTTTTTTTTTTAAATGTTGCATTTCCCTTAAGGTGCCAAAATATTTTTTTTTAAATGGTAAAAAAGAGAAAACTTTTTTAAAAAGCCGACCGTAGATTTCAAGATTTTGGGGTCGGTCGCAAAGGGCAATACAACATCTTTTTGTTTTAAAGGCCTTATCATCATCGTCACCATCGGCATCAGCAGCATTTATTCCCTTTCTTTGGTATCGGTAGTATTACTATTTTTTTATTACAATATATACAATTATTATTATTATTTACCTAGCTGGCATCTATTGGGGGTAACATGAAGGTGATTGCTAAAGGGACCGATTACAAATACAATCATTGACGTTGTTTTTTCAGTTTTTAGCAAACATCGAGATAATTAATGAATAAAATAAATATTATTGAACATGTCAATGAAAGATATCATTCAACTTTTAACACAAACTAAGCGCCTCTTGATATTGATTTTGGTAACCCTGTTTAAACGTTTACCCAGAGAGTCAAACACAAAGCATGACTACTTAGCATTGTGGCACAGCAAATTAAGTTTTTACTTAATTGCTAATCATATCAAAACGATCGATGATGAACTCGATTAGCTGCAATTATCTTCTCCCATCCATACTGTACTGTTGCAGTATGCAGTCGAGAGGGCAGCATACTAAATGCCAAAGCGTCGCCTGCTAGCTAGTCTGAATGCCTACACATATTTTCTTTAGCTTTATATATAAATTTTCGTTGTGGCGATGTATAATTGATCACATCCTTAGAAAAAAAAGACACCCAGATTTTCTCTCACTTTCTCTCCCAATCTCTCCATTGCCCCCCCCCCCCCTCATATCTCTCTCTCTATATCTTTCTCACACTAATTTTTCAGGCAAAAATGAAAATTAATGAAATTTTAAAAAATAACAAATTTACCTTTAAAAATCGTAAACAATGTTTATTTTTCTTGCACAGAATTCACTTGAACAAACAAACTCTTTGATAGATTTTTACTAATGTCTTTGGATCATAAACAACCAATACAGTCAGTAATACTTTTACCCATTTCTACATTGTCATTTTGATTTGGAAGGTACATACTGAGATTCCTTGAAGGAAATCTCTTGAACACCAGCCACATGACTTGTGAACAAAACAAAAAAACATAATTCCAATCACACGCCAAAACGAAAACGCTCAATTTGAACCCATAGCTTATTGGTCTGAACCAAAAGCAAAGTGCTGTTTATGTGATAACTTGATAAACTGGGGCATAGAGTTAAATGACTGTACAATGAGTTTCTAATTCTCTATTTCTGAAATAACTGAAAGAGAATAAAGACAAGAACAGGGACATAAATGGAGACAATTAACTAAACAAAACCATAAACAAACAATGAAAAACCTATAACTTTTCCATATAATCATACAGGAGGGGAAATCCATGTATTTAAATAACCTGGAAAACACCCCTGAATAAATATTTTTGAGTCGCAATCATGACAAGTTGCTTAATAAGACAAACCTTACAAAGTACAAGATATCCTTTCATAAATACAAACACATTGATGCAAAGAATGCCATTGACAAGTAAGTTTTAGAATAAATAGAAAACGGTACATGAACCATGTAATCTCTACTGTGAAACTGTACTATAAATACATAAACTCAAATAAATCAGGGTATTCATAAAGGAATCCATCTACGCTATTAAAGAAAGCTGTCACTCTCGTAAGGTAAGTGACTTTCTCGACATGTGAATGCAATCTGATTTCTCCTTTATTATATACAATCTTTCCCTTATGATACAAGAAAGTCTCAAATTTATCTTAATATATATTTCTTTGAAAAAAAAAGATCATCATAATAGATGTCACAAACCTTCCTTTTGGTCAATTAGGTATGTTTGTTTGTGTGACGGAGGTGCCTAATATTTTTTCTAGCACTCCAATTTTCTGCTTCCTGACCAAATTTTACTAATCTTTATTATTTCTTATTATAAAGTCTGAAATTATTCACCCCTTCATTCTTTTCCTTCAAAATCAATTAAAATCTGTAAATGATAACTTTAGTTTGAATAACATGTCATTGATAACTGTTCTTCTCTATCTCCCTCTTTTTCTCTCCCTTCAGCCCCCCCCCCCCCCCCCCCTCTCTCTCTCTTTCACTTTCTCTCTGTGTCCATTTGTCTGATAAATAATGGCATAACCTTTTTTTTTTTTTTTTACTTTTCTAATTTTGGGGGCACTAAAATTTCTAAATGATTAAAATCAAAATCTGAAACCATTTCTATAAATTCCTTTTGAATCACTTAATATGTAAACATACATATATTCTAGCTTTTCCTCAAGATTTTTCAGTTCTATTGCAATTGTTCTTCCCCCTTCTTTTTGTCTTTTCTTTTGGTTTTTGCATAGCATATAATAATAAATGCTCAGAAAATAGAGAAGCAATAAATGTAAAATAACTTGGTTCTTTCGATATCAAAAGGCACTACTACTACAAGGTTACAGTTAAAATATGACATGTCAGATTATCCCTCGGATAATCAGCTACTCTCTGGACTCAGTAACATTTTTAAGGGTAACTTCCGATTATTTGAACAAAACAAAACATGATCAAATTAGAAAAATATGATGCAAATCTTTCTTTTCCTTGTCTTTGTGAATCAATTGTTATTTTCAAGGTTTATATAAACATTCTGTAAACTGTTTTAGGTAAAAATTAAAATTACTGATCCCAAGAATTCACATCTACCTTCACTCTTTTCTCAGTTTGCTTGTAGACGTCGTGGTGCTGATAGATATTGAACAATTGCCACAAATACCAAGAACTCTAACTGGTTATCTTAAGGAGTAAGCTTCTCGTTAAGTACGTGTAGCTACAACAGACAGAGATTAGGAATAACCTTTTATTTCAACAGGCAGACAAAAATCTCTCATCTATGATGTTTTGAGTATGCTCAACCTGTAAATCTGGTTTAATGAACACTGCAGCCTCAAAGCTAAATGAATAATTTTCAATGTACCGTATAAGAAGATAATGTGGTCATATGCTGGACTGGTTTAAAGAAAGGGATGATACCTCCCCCCCCCCCCCCCCCCCCCCCCCACACACACACACACACGCACACACAAACACACACAAACGAAAAACGATAAGAGGGAAACAGATTAAGGTAATGATTTGGGATCTCAGATCATAAAGGGAATCATTTAAGTAACCAACTTATATAGTATCGTAAACACTTGTACCTTCATTCAGAAACCTACAGTATTCACAATTTTGTCCATTAAGATCTAATTGAGGAAAAGATACATTACTTTCACAGTTTTTTTGGTCAAAAATGACGCCTAGCTGGAATGCTCCCCAGGGAGTGGAGAAAGTGCATACATTGTGTGCGGGTATGCCTGAATCCGACGACAGGGGTAATAATATGATCGCAGGGCCCTCAGGGAGAACAGTATGAATGCTGATGAGGCTACCCTGGGTAAACAAGACCTATTATTATTATTATTATTATTATTACCACTTTCGTGAGTATGGGCACCTACATTTTGTTTGTTTTTAACATTCTGAATGTATAAAAAAATTCTTAAATTCTCTGTATCACTTAAATAATGCAAACATGGCTCTCCCTCCATGCTTTTGTGATGGACAATGATCACAAAGAGCAGGGTTGGACACCTGCAAGCTAGTCAAAGATGCTCTTTGGGTGAGGGGACACTGGAATACCCCCATACCAGAATCCAAGGCCATACAAAGCTCTTCCACATGAAGAACACAAGGTTCTTGGAGCTGAGGGTTGGGTATCTGCATGCATCCTTGTTATAGACAACCTGCGTTCTTTGCTTGAATTTGTGCAAGCATCCTCAGGAAAACATCTTCCTGACCGCGAATCAGATCCCATGGAATACAGCGCTCTCCAGCTTGCAGAATAGGAGGAAGAGGAAGAGGAGGGTTGGGCATCTGGGTTCTGGTCAAAGACATCTCCTGCCCTTGGACTGAGATTGTGTTAGGATTCTTTGGAAGACAACCTGCGTTCTTTGCTTGAATTTGTGCAAGCATCCTCAGGAAAACATCTTCCTGACCGCGAATCAGATCCCACGGAATACAGCGCTCTCCAGCTTGCAGAACAGGAGGATCAGGAAGACGAGGGTTGGGCATCTGGGTGCTGGTCAAAGACATCTCCTGCCCTTGGACTGAGATTGTATTAGGATTCTTTGGAAGACATCTCCCTGGATCATAACCAGCTTCCCAAGCAGAGCACTCATCTTCTACACACAGAACAGGAGGATCAGGAAGATGAGGGTTGGGCAGTTGCGTGCTGGACATCCCCTGCCCTTGGACTGAGATTGTGTTCGGATTCTTTGGAAGACATCTCCCTGGATCATAACCTACTTCCCAAGCAGAGCAATCATCTTCTACACAAAGAACAGGAGGATCAGGAAGATGAGGGTTGGGAAGTTGCGGGCTGGACATCCCCTGCTCTCGAACTGAAGATATGTTATGATATGTTTTGGGACTTCTTAACTGAGTGGGTTGTCCTCTTGACTGCAAACTTGGGCCCCAGGCCTTACAGAGTTCTTCAACAATGCAATTGTGCTCCGTGAGAAGTTCCACCTTCATGTCTCTGCAAAAGAATAACATAAGGTGAAAATTAACCTCAGCTCTTATTAGTTATTGATTTCCCCATTAAACGTGACTTTGAGTGGGTATTTATCATTTATGTATACATGTACATGTTTATCATGTTTATCTTTTAATGAATGCTAGATCTTCCTTGCATTTTCTTGTACTTGAACAAGGTCTATCTATTTATTTCAGAAGCATATTTCCACTGCTAACATGAAAAGTACTTAAATTTAGTACTTTCTTCTTGTTTTCAGGCTGAAGGTAATCCTGCAGAGGTTTAAAACATTGACCTTACAATCTATTTTATTCTAAACCGCTTAGAGGCAATTTGCAATTTGCGGTATACAAATATCTTATTATTATTATTATTATTATTACCTGAACATCTTGTGCAAAAAGTGATATGAATTAATGTACCAATATTAAATCCTGCAACAGTTTGAAAGTTTCAGTATACCTGAACATCTTGTGCAGAAAATGTGGTATGAGGGTACAGGTCATGACTGCCATGTTCTTAATTATTGCCACATCACTGGCATCTACTCCTCCAGGAATCTGACAGGACACATGGACCACCGCTGATGGGGTCACGCTGTACTTCTCACACAGCTCTGTGAATGATGGAGGGTCGGGTATACAATGGGATGTGCAGCTAATGAGCTGATTCGCCACCTGTAAAATATGAGAGGGGGGATTGTGAGCTCTTCATCTCTTGTGTAGACATTTTAACATTGATCAAATGTGCATAAATTGACATTAATTTGCATTTGCCACTCTCCATCCAGGCATACATGGGTATATATATTTGTCTATTTATTTCTAGCAACCAAAGGGTTGGATTGATATAATACATACATGTTCAACATGATTATAAACATTATTCAATTGATTACAATGAAATTGGTAAATTATGAATATAAATACATGTAGATCATTAATACAAAGAACATTACAAATCATTCAGGTATATAATATGTTACAAGTAAAGTACCCGGCAAATGCTGGGGTAATGATAATTGCAGGGCCCTCTGTAAAAAAACATCATTAATGCCGACGAGGCTTCCTTTGGTTAACTAAATGAACATTATATTATTACAAATGTATGTGTGAAAGCTTCAAAGCACTCATTTTATCACATAAAAGAAAAAGGGTGGAAACTGGTCAAGAAATAAAGAAGAAGAGCCATTTTTTGCGATGCTTTGGAATATAAAATAACAGGATTTCTCAAAGTTTTAGCATCATTCCAAACAAAGGAGTGGTTATTATGCAATATCTGGGCCATGTCTTATAAAGAGTTGATATCAATCACAACTACATACATACGAGATAGGTGAAATTGCGATTGATTGGCCGGACTTACAATTGATTTGGATGAGTTGTAGCTCTCTATAAGACGGGGCCCTTTGAACGTTATTATCACTCACCTTGATATCGAAAACATTATCAAGGCGGAGTGGCATCTTCTCACACAATATAGCACAGATCCTTTGGACATCAAATACCACCTGTAAAATGACAAGGATAATTAACAGTAATATACAGTCTATATAACTAATTATAGTCATATTCATGCCTTAATTCTCTCCTTTTGATTTATATCTTATTCAAGCAGACCTGCCAACCTGTGGAGTTCAAAAACTGTATTCTTTAGTCCCAAAAGTTGTATTTTACTGACAAAAGTTGTATTCTTGAAAATAAACATGGATTGTTACGCGGATCAATGGCTCTTACAATTTCTACCTACAGGAAGATTTTTTTTATTGATCATTGGTTGAATATGCATGATTTCGTCATGACTGGTGTGTTCGATGAACCAATGAACAACCCCAAATTGCGGATGTGAGATGCTTGTAGGATACTTTACAGGACAGAATGGACATTTTGCCATTGAAAATGGCTGACGCACACACAAAATATTGATTACAAAAAAATCAAAAAAATCAACAACAACAAAATTTTAAAAAAAAAACATTTTTTTTGTTGTTTTTTTGTTGAAAATCATATTTTATTAAGGAAAATCGTACTGTCGTATTTGCTTCTAAAAATCGTACTAAATATGACTAAATTGTACTGGTTGGCAGGTCTGTTCAAGTGATACAGAACTTGAAGCGAGTTGATTCAGGTTAAAAGTTAAATTTGAGAAACCTGTTGGTGACAGTTGACACATGTTGGTGAAATTTTGACACATAGTCTCTTAGTAAAAATTTAAGAATGTTTGAAGAGGAAACCGCTGATTTATCCAGTGCCCAACAGCTACTTTACTATAACATGTGAAAGTTTGTTTTCTAGTCATTTGACTTGTGAGGGGGAGGGGGAATGATGAGGTTGCCCAACAATACACCACAATGGCATTACCAATTGGCTAATAATAAATTCCTATAATTATTCATATTAATCTCAACTTCTCAACAATCTCAATACTTTCATATCTTTTTCAGCTCTTACTTTACCAATTTGTTTCTCAGCTTCTTCCTTCATTCAGAAACTTGCGTTAAAGTCAGAGAGCCATCTATTTTTTTCTTCCCCTTTTGACAAAACTTATTCCACAGCAGCTCTAACTACCCTATCACTTTGTGGTACTTTTCCTGTTTCTACTGGATCACTGCCAAGTCGACACATAACAGGATATCATTAGTTTCCGCAACTTTGGCATGCTTGCTGCACTTCATACATGACATGATGTAAGCTACAGTAGGTGTAAACATGACAGTACAAAGTTGGTCCCATACAGCCACTTTCAGATTGTAACAATTGTGAACACACTGAACCTTCAACAGTTTGAAAAGATCTACCTTCACCCAAGATAGACAAAGAATTTTAAAAGTATTTTTTTTCTTCCTTTTTTGATGAGTATTATACAAATAATACATGTTTGCAAGTGCATTAGTGAATATGCACTGCCCGCAGGTTGAGTCACAGTAGGATAATGAACGAGACTGGTTGAGTTTATAGTCTGTCTCTTTGTGACTTTTAAATGCAGTGCATATCACTAATGCACGAGCTAAAAACATATTTGTTTTACAAAATGGGTCTACAATATGAGTATAAAGTCAAGAAATTAGTGGTTGTTTTCGCCTAAATGCACTCCTGTGCATATGGTAAAAATTAATGCAAGCATGCATGATCCACTTCAAATACGCTTCTCATTGGCTACATACTTGAACTTATTTGATAGAGTATTATTCTGAAGAAAGTGAATTCAATTGCATGAGTTCTTGCTGCCTAGTGAAAAGATTACCTTGATTTGGTGTTAGTTTTAAACATTCATAGAAAGGATAGTGTTTGATAGCCTGGTTTTATGACCGATCAGACTTATCCACATTCATATGGGTGCATGCATCTCATTGGTTGATTGAGACAACATTTTGTAATCATTCTCAAATTCATTTGACACAGAAAAATGTAAACAATGTAAGAATTTGCTGACCTTGAGAACAGTTGTACTTGTGAGAAGAAGCAATAACTGGTGAAAGATGTCTCCAGTCTTGCTCGATGCTCTACACTCTTCTACGGGTTCTTGGGATGTGGTGGAGGACTCTCCAAAACTGTTGGCAACTCCTAGTTCCTGACTACCTGACGCAGATGTCTCTGTTGATGGGTGTGATGCCATTGGTACGTACTTCTGAATCTTAGTTGCTATCACCTTACCGTCCCACTGCCTCATCACGAACCACTTACTGTCACAATCTATGCCAACCACGGATGAGGCAGACCCAAAGAGAGGATGACACGCCTGGATCCATTCTTCAGCTGTCTGGACAACATGCACAACCACAGGACCTGCTGCCGTTGGAAATGTGGGCTCCATTCTGGGCTTTTTGCTTGGGTTTTCATCATCCATCTCTTCACCATCTTTCATTCCTTCACTCTGGTTAACTAGTGTACTGGATCTTTTCTTGCGCATTTTCCTTTTACCTTTGGAGGATGACTGCCCATGAGCAGATCTGAGGGAAATTGTTCCGCTGTTATTCAGAAATATGTCTTGGTAGTGGGCAAGTGTATGTTTTACCTTCTTCTTTGTATGCCCAAACACTTGCCTCTCTTTTGCTGTAAGGTTTTCCCTGATGAAATCCACAAGCCGATTTAGTTGACGACTTTCTGTCAAATATTCCTCTACTTTCTTCAGACCAGTTGTCCAGGGATTCAATCTCATTTGGGTCGTCTTGTGCAGGACAACTAGGTCACTTGGCGGGATGACATGAAAAGTATCCTTCTGAAACAGGAGAATTGAGAGCAGTTCCTCTGGAGTTCTTCCCAGGGTCCTTCTTGTAGGTCTGTCAAGTTTGTGAGAAGCTACAATGGAAGTGTGAATGTCCTGTAAGACCATAGGTCCATGACTTTCTAGGAGCTTTTCCACAAACCTCAAGCCTCTGTCTAGATCTCTTGATGATTCACTTTTACAAGCTTCATGAAAACTCTCCCTTTGTTTGTTACTGGTAATAGAGTCAAGATTATTGTTCTTGTCACTGATGTCCAATGGCTTGGAGGAGATGATATCTCCAGTAAAGGAACTATGTACTCTTCTCTGCGCAGTCTCCTCAGCAGACTGTCCAACTCTGATTTCCTTTGTAGATAATGTGGATGCACTCTCAGAGGTTCCATATCTCTTAGTTGCGCATGACTTTGCAGGGTCGCTAAGAGCCATTCGACGACTCTTTGTCAGGGATACTCTGCCATCACCATGGATGAGGAAGCGATCTGGATACGCTGCTAGCAACTTCCTGAGTGAATGCATTCCTGAAATGCAACCTGTACTCAAAGACTCATGTCTGACGACTTGATTTAGAAGTGTCTTTACAAAACTAGTCTTGGATGTTCTCAGATACTTCTCTAGATACTCGACAACTTTAGTGACTTGGTTACTGCCTTCATGATGGGTATTCCTCAACATTACAATGCCTGGAGGTGATGCAAACTTGAAGATCTTGGGCTCTCTGGCAATGGTATACGCCAGCTCCTTCTTGTTTCGCCCTGTCACTTTCTCTTCATTTGCTGTCATTATCTTTTCGTGTTTGAGCATGTTCAGTAGTATGCCTACTGGTTGAGGGCCGTTCTTCTGCAAGAAAACTTTTATCTTCTTTATGCCTCTTTCATAGTTCGACGTAAACAATGACTGTGACATAACTTGATTACCCTGAACATGGAAAGGTAACTTGTCATCCAGGAGTATGGTAGAAATGTCACAGCTACATTCACCATCATGAGTAGGGATTTTAGAAATGGCTGCAGTGATCTCTCCAATACTAACCCACTCATCACGTTCCTTCAAGTATCTGTTAATCCATTCAATCCTGACATAATGTCTGCAGGGCTTGAAACTACCAGCTTTCAAGTGAACTCTACCTGACTGTGATAACGGTTGGAACATTTGAGGCTCTTTAGAAATGGTCTCTGCAAAATCCTTCTTATTGTCTCCGAGAGCCCTTAGTTCTCTCTCAGACAGATGCTCTGCTTCTTTCAGCATATGCAGCAAATCATCTACCTTCTGTGGACCATTCCTCACTAGAACATCTGTCACTTTCTGGAGACCAGACTGATGATATGACTTTTCATAGACAGTATTCCCTTGCATATGGAAATGCTTGCGGATATTAGGAAGCATAAGCAAGGATCTTATGGCACATTGACAAGAATACTTACTTGTCAGGAGCTCAGATCTTACCTTGTCCATATCATCAATGGAAGTCCATCCAGCATGCTCCTTAAGATACTGCTCGATCCATCCTATTATGCCTGAATGACAACAGGAGGGATCTAGCACCGCATGGACCCCACGTAGCACTATCAAACCAGTTGACTGCTCCCTGACAAAAATGGCAGACTCATTGCAGATTGTGGTCTTCAGTTCTTTTCTGTTTCTTCCAAGGGCCACTTCTTCACCCTCTGTAACTTTTTGCCTCAGATTCCTAAGTAATGTATTCATCGTTAGAGGGCCTTTCTCCTCAAGGAGATGTTTCATCTTCCGGAGACCGCTTTCATAGGTTGTCATCAAGCACACCACATTTTCTCTAACAAGAAATTCCTTCAGGAAGGTTGTGCTTCTCATCACTTCAGTGACCTTACATCTACATGGAAAGCTGTCTGTCCTTGGAACGCTTGACCTTGCAGTGCATATTGTACTTAAGTCTGCCCAGCCCCCGCGTTTATTCAGGTATTGCTTAATCCATTGCCTTGCTTCCCAGTGACTACATGGTATGCCATCCAGGCATGGTCGGAGGTTGGTAGACAGAATAGAAGATGCCACAAGCCTGCAGCTGGTCATTGTGTCTGGGGATGTCCTTTACCCAGACAATTCTGTAAGATGAAAAAATAATATAATAATATAATATAAATCATTAACTGATTAATGTCAACCTGTTACAAGCCTTTAAAGTCGTTTTAAGCTCCCACAATAACCAATAGATTGCAAAAGAAATCTTGTAATTGAATTAGCAAGAGAAAAGGACATATATTTTTTTCATAAAATACATGGATTTTAAGTAAAGCTTACTGGACCCTATGTTAAGATATTTCTCTACCACGTCTTTATTTTTCAAATGAAGGGGTTTCATGAATTCTGTTCCCTTGTGTAAAATCTCTAATTATTTAATCTTCAAATAGGTTTTGTGTTATAAGGCAATAAGAGTCTGTTGATTGTTTTTAAAGGGGTATTGAAGTATTGTTAAACTTCAAGTCTCACAATCATACAAACAACCTGCACAGGCCCCAATCATTGCAAACTCCATGGCATAAAATAAGAATAGCATTTAAGCCCGTTGGGGGGGGGGGGAGGGAGATACTCAGATTTGGTTTGGACGGGGGTGTGCCGCTTAAGCCTCAAAATCTCTACCCATTATTAGGGTCCATTTTGGGGCATTTTTCTCACAAAAAAGACCCATTTTCCACAATTTTCAGGTGTTTTTCAAATTACCAATTTTGAAAAAAACAGATTTATTTTGAAATTTATGGTATTTTTGTTAAAAGTGGGACCCATGCTTGGGATTTTTTTGTGAAAAAGTCACCCATTAGAGTGGCACACCCCTGTATGTCCCAATATGTGAGTACCCCCCCCCCCCCCCCAGATTTAAGCGGAGGGCCAAAGTAAAATATCACGCATAGTTTTTGAGTTGCCTTCCACTACCGCATCAGTTAAGCAGACCTTGTTTATTTGAAAGATTTTATCATAATACACAATTTTTCAGAGGTGTTTTTTAATAAATTTGTAGCGAACATCCCTAAATCGGAGGGGGCATCCAAAAAAGCGTATTATGTAAATAATATTTAAGGGAACCTTGAACCACCATGAGTTTGGGATTAATTAATATCGCAAATTTATCAAAAACCATTATTTTCCATATAGCAAAATCAGAGAGATGCATTTTTTCATAATTTTTCAGGAATTTGTCTATGTACATGGACAATATCCTGTGTAAAGGAGAGGTTCATATCTCTTTTCAACAAAAAGTTATAGCAACCCAAAGTTATTGATTTGATTTCCACAAAAACAAAATTTTTGCCCACATGTGTATTATTAGTGTATTGAGGACCTGCTTGGTGCGTTTACATTGAGTTTGGGAGATCAAGCACCTTTTTTGTCGTTGTCTAATTTGTGAGGAAATATTTAGCAGCCAATCATGAAGCCGATGAATAAGCAGGGGGGGGGGTGCACTTTTTATTTTTTTTTGGGGGGGGGGAGAAAAAAATCTTTTTGGTCAGAGGGAGGGGTGGGGGACCCGTTTTACTTTTTTGTTTAAAAAAGGTACAATTAATGTTACCATCTAATTTTTAAAAGTTTTTTTGCAAGGGGGGGGGGGGAGGGCGGCGACGGCTGGGCCCGTTACCCCCCCCCCCCCCTTCCCGCACCTCGGTCAGACTACATACGTATCAATAAAGCAACCTTTGCCTTAATTGGTCAGGCTACAAATAGTACAAGTACAACTACAAGCAGCGATATGGGAAGATTACACAATGAAAATATTTCAAAGAGAATAAACTTGAATAAACAAACATTTTGAACAAACATTAGTTAAATGTCCAGTCATTTCTCTCATTCTCAACAGAAAGTGTTCATACAATCTCTTTGGATATTGTATTCATTTTAAGGTCTTATTTGTTTGAACTTTCTAAAAAAAGTAGAAACATGGCTAACACTAAGTAACAGTACTCGGTATTAGTAGTCGACCCCTACCTTCTAATTTTACTACAACAAATTATAGCATGATAAGTAGCATGATTATTTGAAAGCCGCCTTCTGCGTTCATCTAGCAAACGCCCCCCCCCCCCCCCTAAAGAAAGGCTCAAAACGTGATATATGCAGCTTGGCCTAATTGGCCTTGGAGCCTTCGCCCCTCTCTATCTCTAGCATTCACCACTGACCTGGTGACATCCGACAGTGCATCCATATGCACCCGGTACCAACACTAAACAGGGACCCAGCGCAGCGCTCAGCGCAAGTGAGCAGCTACTAGGGCTCGCACCAAACATGTGGAGGTGCAAATCGACGTTCGTATAGACTGTACCGTATACTAAACGTTACTTTGTGTGAATTAACTTGATATGAATGAATCTATAATAGTCTATACCTTACCGTTATCATGTTAATGACGTGGTCAAAAGAACGCCTTAATTCATTTGATAATTGCTGCAGTCTTTCTGGATACACTTTCTGGAATCTGGATAGATCTACACTTGCACAAATCACAATAGAGTCTAGGCCTACGTCACAAAAGATAAATATGCGGAACTTCAATTTCGGCGGAACATTCCAAATTTCCATGATGATTCGGCAGGCGGAGGGCTAATAACAATAAAGGGCAAGTACCGGTACAAATACAATGAGGGGCACTTACCCTGGGCGGCACTTGAAGGCTGGACGCACAAAAAACAAAAAACAAAAAAAAAACAGGAAGGGGTGCAAAATACGCAGAAGAAAGAAGAAAAAAATAAGCAGAAAAAATATGATTGGCGCCCCCAATGGGGTCTACTCGCTTTGGTAAAAATTTCAGCAGTGTTAGGAGGGCTCTTCACCACTGATCTCTACGGAAAAATCCGTAGAGATCAGTGCTCTTCACCAGTTTACGGTTGTGTGCGCCATTTTAAACAAAGCAAATGACCTAGAGGTCATGTATTTAAGCGTAAATTAAGATTGCGCCCATGCAAATTATGATGATATCACTGCCTACGCGCTGCGTTGTGCGCGCACATCATCATTTGCATGGGCGCAATCTTAATTTACGCATAAATACCACTGACCTCGGGTCATTGGCTTTGTTTCAGGGTTAATGACCCGAGGTCAACTGTCTGCGCATGCGCACTGATACAACCGTAAACTGGTGTACTAGCGATAGTGGGGCGGTATCAGGTAGTGGCGGATCCAGGTGGCCCCCACCCCCACCCCCCTGGCAAAAAAAAGAAGGAAAAAAGGGGAAAGATTTTTTTTTTTTTTTTTTTTTTTTTTTTTTTTTTTAGCTAAAGAAAGCAAAAGAACAAAAAAAGGTGCCCAAACCACTGAACGAAATATCTGACGACGTAATTTTTCAATTTTCTGGGCCAAAGAAAAATTATCTGACCATGATTGAATACCTTAGAATTACCCCTGAACTACCGGGAATCTGCCCCTTGGACCCCAGTGACCTACCAGTGCCACAAATAAGGTATCAAAATATGCTCATATGACAATAATTAAATGCCTAAAACCCCTGACTTTCGGTGGTTCTGCCCCCTGCAGTGACGGATCCAGGGGCGGGGGGGGGGGGGGGGCGGGGATCCGGGTCCCGGCCTTTCGAAAAAAAAATCATGTGAAAACACGTGATTTTTACCTGGCGCTCAAAGGGGGGGGGGTGCAAATTTTAAAATTTTCGAGGACCAAAAGAAAGGTGGGGCCCCCTCCCCTTAGAAATCCTGGATCCACGCCTGGCCTCCTGCATGGATAATGGACCCCACCTAGGCAGGCACCTAGCCACGGGGGGGGGGGGGAAGACGTGCCTCCCCCCAGAAAAAAATCCAAGATCGGTTAAACTTTTTTAGACCCCTTTTTTTTTATCTCGATCGATTACATGTATGTGCCCCCCCCCCCCCCCCCAAACATCAAAGTCTGGCTACGTGCCTGCACCTTGGGTGGCTGGATGTTAATCTGACGGTAATTTAAGTTTGAAACTCCTGAGCTTTTGGGGTCTCGGCCCCCTGGACCTCACGCCAATTAGTGTCCTGCCAGTGTCACAAATGAGGTATCAGAATATGTTCATCTGAACGTAATTAAAGGGAAAGTCCACCCCCAAAATAAGTTTGTTTCGATAGAGGCAGAATAATAAGAAAATCAGGTGAGTGAAAGTTTAAGCAAATTCTGAACGAAAATAAGAAAGTTATGAATTATTGAAGTTGTGATCAATCAAATACAAATTGGCAACTCCGTGACTTATTAAACGAGCTCTCCTCCATTTGCTTTGTGCATAATATTCCATAAAATCATGTTTTCTTCGTTATTGATGACGGAATATATATTTGTTCCTTGCAGGGGGAGTATAGAAACATATTTGCAATTATTATATTTAGGGTGCATGTATGGTTGAAATTTTTCTTGAGGGAAAATGAAAATTTTAGATTTTTTTAGTACTGAGCAAATGGAAGTTGAGCTCGCATGATACGTCATAGAGTTGCCAATTTGTGTTTGATTGATCACAACTTAAAAAATCCTAACTTCCTTATTTTTAATCGGAATTTGCTCAAACTTTCACTGACTTGTTTCTCTCATTTTTCTACTCCTATTAAAACAAACTTATTTTGGGGTGGACTTTCCCTTTAAATGCCTAGAACCCCTAAGTTTCCGGGGCTCCGTCCCCCTGAGCTTCGAGCCAACACCAAATTTTGTCATGCCGGTGTCACAAAAACGGTATTTAAAATATGCTCATCTGACCTTAATGTCAAATTTAGAGACCCCCCCCCCCCCCAAAAAAAGTGTCCTCTTACCCCCCCCCCCCCCCCCCCCCGCTTAATCAGCGGCTGAGTCGTTGTGAAATTTTCGGCCCGATTTATAAATGTTAACCCCCCCCCCCCCCCTTGAAAAAAAATCCTGCGTACGCGCCTGAGTAGTATAGTAGTAGTAATCGTAGTACATGCAGTAGGAGATTTCCGAGTAAGCATCTGAATATCTTATTTGTTCGTCAGTAATTAGGCCTAGTTATCGGATTTTGAAAAATGCTGAATTTAGCTCATTTTATGCATGTTAATTATTACCAAAGGGGGTAATGGGTCAGTGATGATAGTGTCTGACAGGCGCGGATCCAGGGGGGGGGGCGAGCGGGCCTTGCCCCCCCCCCCCCCCGCAAAAAAAAGAGGGAAGAAAGGAAAAGAAGGGAAAGGGAAAGAGGAGAGAAAGGGAAAGAAAGGAGAGGAAGAAGAAAAGAAAAGGGGGAAGAAGGAGATCGGGGGTGGGGCTGAAAGGGCCTTGCCTCCCAGGCTGTTGCCCCCCCCCCCCTCCCCAATCAAAAAAATAAGAGAGAATGAAGGGAAAGGAAAAAAGGAGATACTGGCGTACTGATAGGGGGAAGGGGGCTAGGGGAAAATCAAATTCAAATGTGGTTTATTTCTAATTCCATAACGTTGGATAACAATAATGCTGAAATGACATAATCTCCGAGATTTTTCCTCACCTTTTAATAAATTATATTTGTTTATGTGTTTGTTAGAAAAATTATGTTTGTTAAAAATTCCTAAATTTACCGTGATCCAGGCAAGAAATATGATTCTTGAGATTCCTATATGTCAGGGCCCGAGGAACGGCGGGGATCGGGAGCCTCGACCCCCCCCCCCCCCCCCCCACCTTTAAAAAAAAAAGAGTATATTAAAGAGAACGAAAAAAAAGAATAGAGCAAGAAAGAAAAAAAATAGTGTCCTGCCAGTGTCACAAAATAATAAGTTATACAAAAAAAATGCTCATCTGGCCGTAATTAACCTATTGCTTACTGGAACCTGGTGGTCCCTGTGTTAAGTCTATGGGAATTAGATAATTCAGTAGTCAACGGGTTAAGCGCCTCAAACCCCTGAGCTTCCGGGGGCTCTACCACCTCGACCCCACCAGGGGCCCTAAGGCGGGCCCCTGAATGCTTACCTGGCAGTAATTTATTGCCTTAAACCCCTGAGCTTATGGGGTCGGACAAGGTATCAAAATGTGTTTTTCTGTCCGAGGGCGTGTAGCCGAGGGGGGGGGGGGGGGGGGGGGGGGTGGGGCCGGTCCCCAAAAAATCGCCGGCCAAAACAAAAAGGAGAGGAGAGAAAAGGAAGAGGACGTAGGAAGAAAAAAGAGCAGACAAGGAATATCTTTGAAATTCAGACAAGGATTAAGAGTTAAGAACGATACAACGCATCGTCTTCTTTCTCTAATAATTAAATGAAACGTCAAGCTTCCGCGCTTCGCGCAGGAGGGGAAGGAAAACAAAATTCAGACTAGGATTATTTTCTAGAACAGTACAACGAATCGTCTTCTTTCTGTAATGATTTAATGAAACTTAAAAGCTTCCGCGCTTCGCGCGGGACGGGGGGGGGGGACCTGAATTCAGACGAGGATTAAGAGTCGAGACTGCTGTACAACTAATCGCCTTCTTTCTTTCATAATCTTATGAAACGTCAAAGCTCAAAGGTAGGGGAAAAACTGAATTCAGACGAGGATTCAGAGTCGAGAATGGTAATACGAATCGTCTTCTTTCTCTAATGATTTAATGAAACGTCAAAGCTTCCGCGCTTCGCGCGGGAGGGGAGGGAAAACAAAATTCAGACGAGGATTATTTTCTAGAACGGGACAACGAATCGTCTTCTTTCTCTAATGATTTAAAGAAACTGAAATGGGGGGGGGGGGGAGGGGGAACCTGAATTCAGACGAGGATTAAGAGTCGAGAACTGTAGAACTAATAGCTTTTTTCGCTAATGATTTAATGAAACGTAAAAGCATCCGCGCTTCGCGCGTGAGGGGGGGGGGCGAAACTGAATTCAGACGATCGAGGATTAAGAGTCGACAACAACGAATCGTCTTGTTTCTCAAATGATTTAATGAAACGTTAAAGCTTCCGCGCCTCGCGCGGGGAGGGGGGGGGGGGAACTAAATTTAGACGAGGATTATTATCGAGAACGGTACAACGAATCGTCTTCTTTCTCTAATGAATTTAATGAAACTTAAAAGCTTCCACGCTTTGCGCGGGAGGCCGAGGGGATGGGGGGAACCTGAATTCACACGAGGATTAAGAGTCGAGAACGGTACAACGAATCGTCTTCTGTCTCTAATAATTTAATGAAAATCGCCCCTTCCTGCACCCCCCCCCCCCCTAAGAAATCCTGGATCCGCGCCTGGTGTCTGACAGTGAAGACGAAAAAGTAAATGGGTTTCATTGCATAATTTGGATGTTAGGACAGAACATGATTTCACAGATAATACGTGACATACTCACAATTCCTCAAAAGTTCAACAGAATTAGATTTTAGCTGCAAATGGGACAATATAGTACCTTTAAAACCCAACAATTTTCCCCAGTTAACCCCTATTTTTTTTTTTTGGTTTTTAAAGTTTTATGGATAGGGTGTGATTAGATTTGGGAAATTGATTATGGTTAAAAGACTCATTTTTGTCTCGGCATGATGCATGATGGTAAGACAGCAAAACACATTTTGCTCTGGGATGGTCTAGAGTTACTCCGTATAGGCTGTATTTAAGAAAGAAATAAAGAAAGAGATAGATAACATAAAAGAAGAAAAGAAGAAGAGAAATAATGGGAGAAGAACCTGAAAAAGACATTAAAAATGATTACCGATGATCCACCGCCAGAAAGAAAACGAAATCGTAGAGGGTCATATGCTATATGGTAATTCGCCGCAGAGGGCTTTTTAGAAAATGCAGTAAATACTAAAAAGAACTTAGATTCTGCAGTAGTATCTCCACAAAGGCAGGCGAAAACACCGTCAATAAACTGGTAAGCACGTATAACAAGGTAGGGGTTGCTCTTATTTGTTTATTCTCTGTAATTAATTATGGATAGATATATCTAAATATTTTGAAATATTTTATTTCACAGTGATCTATAGATCTAGATCTAGGACCCGACTGTTCTAGTATGTTCTATGCTGTCCCATGTACTGAAATTAATGTATGGAGGGAGCGGAGTGAATTGACTCTCGCTATGTATGAAGGGGTGACCAAAGTTCGCGGACATTTTAGAACATATTACAACATGTGATGTTCGATCTATGATTTCTCATATTCTACACAAATTTATTCATTTCAATTATTACCAAAGTTTTTTACTACAGATTGGTTCAACAAGAAAATTTATCGTCGAAGGATTTCGAAGATATCGCGATCTAAAAATTCGATGTCCGATCGTGCGTGCGCGCTGCATCTAAAAAAGTCATAAAAGTAACGAGACCTAACCTCACACACGGGGGTTTTCAGTTGATTTATCAAAAAATGCGATCCATCAAAAATAAGGTAATAACATGATTTGCAAGGCAAGATTACATACAATCAGTTGGTGCCACTTTTTACTTATAATTTTGAGGATTTCTGCTCTCAAAATAAAGATTTCCAGACCCTTATCGGTAAGTTGATAATTTTTCGGAACGGACGCAAATAACTGCAAAATTTGCCGATCTTTTGTCAATATTTTCACAATTTCGCACCCAATTCCAAAGAAAATTTCGTTTCTGGGTAATTTTGTGATCCTCTTTCCATTAGTGATATCAGATTTTCGAAATCTTACCGAATTTTTGAGAAAGCGAACTTTGGTCACGCGCGAACTTTGGTTAGGGTGTCTGATCGCGCACTCAGTTTTGTGTGCTAAAATTCTCCCATAGAGATTGCACACATCCCTATGCCGTCCATGTGCATTGCGCGCTCATGCAAAATTGGTCAATGATTTTATGAACAAATTGAAATTCAAACCTTTGGGGCTCGTGATCCCGAAGGTGAAACTCAATAATTGAGGTGTCATATGAAACGGCAGGTTTTTCTCCATGTTCCCCATAGGGGGGCACCCCCAAAATTCTAAAAATATCTTGCTCAAAACAGCGATCTAAACATTGTTTCCATGGTAACTCGGAGATTTACCAATTTCATGAAGTGCTCCCCCGAGGGATAAGTTGGGCCAGCTGTAAAGAATATATCCGTCCATGCACTTATTTTTTCTCTAGTCCCAAGAGATCACTAGCCCCAACAGTTTGAAAATACCCTTACTCCACGTTTTGCATATCATGCTGTGCATTAGCTGTGCAGCTTTCGAGCAAAAATTATAACTCTGCGTGAACCACTTTTTTGTCCATTCTGACCAAAATGCTATGAATATTGCGCAGTTTTTGAGGGGCTGTATCTTTTGATAGAAACATTGGTGAGTCTTGAAATTTGAAAGGTATTATTCTGATTACATTTTTATTCCAATATCCAACAAAAATGGTGAAAAACGATCCCAAATTGAAAATTGAAAAATCGTTCAGACACCCTACTTTGGTCACACCACCATACAGATGTACCTGAGCTGAGTCTTTGCATACTGTTAAAATGTACACAATTTTGCAACTAATATTGGCGCTTGTTCAGACATCTATCCAAAATTTGACCTGTAACTCCGGCGTGGAGAAACCCTACTAAAACTTACCAAAAATGAAGTAAATATTCATCAAATGTCCAATTAGGCAAATTCATGCAAAAAAATATATTAAAAAAATTGACTTGAAAACACATCAGACAATTAGTCTGAACCGAGTCAGGAGCAGATTTGAAGAAATTATATTTTTAAATGTTGTAAACTGTAAAGCCAAAGATTTAAGAAGAAAACTGACCAAGTATCTGTACTAAAAATCGTACATGTAAAATTGGTCGTACACATTCGACAGCTGAAAATGACGCGCACGGTTGCGTTACGTGCGTTCTCGAATCCAAAATCATACCTCACACACACACTCTCGCCATACCGCGAATGGTCCGTCGTGGGGAGCTAGGCGGCTGAGAGTTTGCAGCGATACCAACGCAGCTTCGGAGCTCCGCAGCGCGCCATTTTAGCGGGACTCGGAAAGGTTCGTGGTGGGAAGGCAGCGGCCTAGCTTTTTGCCCAAACAACGCTAGATCGGCTGCTGGCAAAATGAAAATAACTACGATCGAGAACATTGTCGGTTTCTTAACTTTTCAGTGAGATAATTCTGAATTCTAATTGAGACTATATAATAAATTAAATCGACAAAGAAACCTCTGTAGAACTCTTATAACTGTACAAAAGCTTGTTTATTTCTTCATTTGACATTTTGTTTTCGACCATTTTTTCGTGCGCGAGTCAATGCAAACTATGTATTACCAAACTTTCAACACGCAAGGAACGGGGAACACTCGCGGACCTTGTATCAAATTCGTTGCAAAAAAAAAAATTCAAGGGTGATTTTGAAGCAGTGAAGAATATTGGCGCTGCAATGCGCAGAAATATACTTGAAAGAAACTTAAAAAATCATACCTGAATTTTCAGAAAATCGTATTTGTATTAGTGTACCTAGATGTTACTTGTTTATAACTCAGATTTTATGAAGATTTGTCGGGAAAAAATGTCAATTTTTTCTGTTTGGTGGTCATTTCTAGGCTAATATTTTAAAAGTTACTTCAGTAATGGTTCCGATGTTTCTTTTATCATACTCGCATGTTATTTCTACATAGATTAAACATAGGATGGTTAAGGGTAAGACCGGATAACATTATAAAAAAGATATATCCTTCCAACCTCCCATATCCAATTTTTGGGCTGATTATTGCCGACCCACCGCAGCAAGGCCATTCAGATTTTTGTACGCGACCGAAGCGCCCTCTAGTGCCCCATGAATGTGCCTAGTCCAATTAAAGGTAAAGACCAGTATTGGAAACGCCCCAATTTCAAAAAATGAAATTGAAGCTCTCATTACCAATCATGTGAAAGAATATGTTTTGACTAATACATGATGATAAAAAATTTGCCGGGAAACCACCTACTAATTCATATATTTGGTAAATTTGTTTCTCTCATGGTCTGTGAGAGATATAGGGTAGTCCCATATACATCTTTCTGTATATAGTGCTTGTAACTTTACGAAGAATGGGCCAAATTTCTTATCATTCTGATGATTCCAGAACCTTGCAGATGCTAGATGCTAGATGATCAACCTTTTCTGATCGATTCCACAACGTTTCTTTCACAATGCAATCGCATGACCATAACTGGTCTTTACCTTTAAAGATCGTGATTTAAAAGTCATTAGATTTCTAGACCTAGGCCTATGTTTCTTATCTGTTTCGTGTCAATTTTCTTGTTTTTGGGGGGAGTATTTTTCCGAAAAACTTTGATATTAGAAAACACCTTTTCACAGGTTTCACGGCAAACCGCTACACAATACAAATGCATATACTGATAGTGGGTTGCGGGCACACATAGGAGCATCACTATCAAGGCTGTGTAGTAAAGCTGTGCTTTTGATTCTCAACATTTCAAACACCACTGTACAAAACTCAACTGATTTCACTCAAAATCGGTACTTTAGTGACAATTGATGACACCTAAATAGCAGTAAAATACATTTTTTTAAAACTTACTGATGTTAAAAAGAATAATTTTGAAAATTCAAATTGTAAGTCTAGTGACTTAGTGTCGAACTTTGCTTAACAGCTGCATCGACATGACTGTGTGCAGTCTATGCAAAATTGTGTGGTGTGTGTATTTGTGTAAGGGTATAATAATACCTGCCTCACAGCAAGCATGCAGTGCTAGAGGTCAATACGCATTAGCATTGACTCTCTATGCTTTGCTGGAGTGGTCGCGGGCGGGCGCGCGCCTGTGTGAAGCTCATCTACCGTAATGTCTCAGATCCTACGTTACGGTTCAAATTTTGGATAGGTTTCTGAACAAGAGCTCTAATATTTTAGAAAATAGTAAGACAGGAAATGTATCACTGTGTCACTATGTATGGTCTTTAGTAGACCAAAGAGTAAAGGCAAGCTTTCGGTTTAACTGTTATGGTATAAATTGATCATGATTGATATCATTTGATGTCTGTATCCTCTACTTACATTGCAGAAGTTGGTTGAAACCATAACATAATGACTACTTTAGATGACAAGCTATTGGGAGAGAAGACACAGTACTACTACAGTGACAGTGAAGATGAGCGGGAGGAAGACGATGATGATAAATCCAGCGGAGATGAACAAAACAAGGACTGTGCTGCATCACCTGAAGCTGAATTCATTCCAGAAGCAGATCTTAGTGCAAGCGGTTATGGAGCAAGTCGGGTAGGTGAACTCCTATGCTGCATTAGTGTGGTAGACATTATGGGCTCCAAGATTCTTTCATTAATATTCATGACCTTACGTCTAGCTAGCTAAACCTGTGCATGCGCACCTGGTAGCCGGTAGGGTTAGTGCACTAATGTCCTTTGGCAAGACATTGATCTACATTTGCCACACTCCACCCAGGTGAAGTAAATGGGTACCTGGTAGGAATTTATTCCTTGAAACGCAGAGCGCGTAACAGCTGCACTGCTAAAGCCAGGGTAATTATGCTGCATTATTGTAGAGCGCTTAGAGACTTCTGACAAAGTAAGTGTTAGGCGCTATATAAGCACTGTAATTATTATTATTAGTGATAGGATTATAATAATCATGCAAACCCACCTTTCATCAACCCAGCGTTAGCTCAATCGGTTAGAACAGTGTAATAAAACATTGTAGTTGTGGGTTCAAACCTCAGTATTTATTCAGATTTGTTTGTCCTTATAAATAGCCAGTGAGGCAAAGCAAAAAATAATCATTGTCTGTGAGGTAGACACAGCTAGCTACCGGTAGACTCTTCGTGAACTTACATGTTGCTGCATGTTCAGGCGCTCGCGCGCATGTAAGCTCATGAATAATAATGAACGAATCTTGGAGCCCATATAGTGTTGATCCATTAGTTTGCTTAGAATACTCTCGTGCAAGTTCTTATAGACTACTTCCGGAGCTCAGACATGGCTATCATGTACATGTACGAGACTATTTGGATTAGTTTGACAGTTTATGAACCTTGATACTCGCTTAAGTTACCCAAATCAACTTTTTTATTGCGATCTTTTGTAGATTGCACAGAGTTCATGCTAATTAATGATAATATCTAATAATTTCTTGGTAACCTGTCATGTGCCAGGCAGAAAAGCTAGAATGGATTTTATGTGTTTCTTGGCTCATTTCCCTTTTTTAAAATTTCAGACTGGACCAAAAGGTGTACTAGCAGACTGGAGAAGATTCAAACAGCTTGAGACAGAGAAGAGAGGAGACCAGGATAGAGAAAAGAGACTCCTGGCTGAAAAACTGTCTATGACATGTCGATCCTATGTAAGTAGTATCTTCCAAATGTGTTTTCTTCATCACTCTGTAATTTGCTCTGCTCTGAAAATGAATTCCATTTGGCTAGAGAGCCTGGCTGAAAAAGAAAAAACTCAGGAGGATTGAAGATAGGGGAGGGGAGGGGAGGGGGTGAAAGATGAAAGAGGGAAATAGCTACATCACCAATGGTAATTATTTGCTTGATATTGAAGCCCTGAAATATTGCGCTTAAAAATGATCAAATAGTGCTTCAAAAAGTAAAAATCTTTGATTGACCAGTTTTACCATACCTACTTGTTTTCCCCAATAGACTGAAGTGTCATTAAAAATGTTGGAAAACGATTTTTGAAATTTTGATAGATTCATACAGCCTCAGCTCTAGTGTGGGTAGATCGTATTATGAACTCATGTGCATCCACTCTGTTTATTTACCCTCCATGCTTTCATTGTCCTTTGTAGCTTGATGATGAGAAAGCCAAGGAGGATGAAGAGCTTGATCAGCTTCAACTAGAATCCATGTTGGAAGATGAGTTCATGAGGAGATACAGGGAAGAAAGGATGAATCAGATGATATTGAATATACAGAAAAACAGGTAAAGATTCAATCAGTAAAGCCCTTTTTAGGTAGAAGTTAAAAAACATTTTCAAGTTCCATGTCACAACTCTGTGTATAATGAGACAGAGATTATCAAACAAAACAACTTAAAAAAGTTATCTCCCCCCCAAAAAAAAAGAAAAAAAGAAGAAGATAATAATACCTCATACTTATAACGACTAAAAATCTTGTCATTTCTTGGTTGGTGTTGAGTTGGTCTAATAATATGCCAAACTAAACCGTAAATTTTTTTAAAACTAATGACAGCAAAAAACAACAAAAGAACAATGAAACAAATCAATCACCAATCACAAAATCAATCACAAAATATCCTGTCAAACTTCACAATCAATATTTCTTTAAGTTTCAATGTTATATCATCACATGATGATATGTACGCAAATGACTTTTAGATGTAATATAGGTACTGGTATGTGTATATAGTATATGTAGACAAAAAGAAGAGCAATACGAACCTCATTGAAAATCTAAGCCAAGCAGAATTACGATTATAGCATACTTGTAGTTTCTTGTGTTTGTGTAATTTTGATGATCTTACAACCTATCATCGTGTCCCTTGGCCATGTATTTCCAAAGTAAACTTTCAGCGATCTGTTGATTTATCTTTGCAGCCCAAGATTTGGCAAACTGTTGCGTCTCAATAAAAATAACTTTGTTGATGCAATAGACAGTGAACGCAAGGAAGTGACTGTTATCATCCACATAGAAGATCAAGTAAGTGAAGATAAAATGTTAGAAATGGTGTAGAGAGTTTTTCTGATTCAGGATTATTTGTGCAGACTACCTCATGTTGAAAGTAATTGTGTGTTCTGGTAATAACACAAAAGATTTTCACAGAATCAAACAAAATTTCCACTGAATGTGTTCAGTACAACGGGTAAATTTTGTCTGCTTCATGATTTGTATGCATTCAGCCACCAAAGGTAGTGCTGGTGGTATGATTTATTTTATAGACATGGAATGATTGCAATTGCTAAGCAACGAGCAAAGAGAGGTAAACAAGTTGAGAATGTGGTCGTGACTGTATGTATAGCAGTAGCTGTAATATGTGCAAATATATAGTGAGAGAGAGAGATAGAGACAGAGGGGGGGGGGGGGGGAATCTATGCACTGTATGTAGCTTGTCATTGTTATGTGTGAGTGTATGATTATATTTCTAGAATTATATGTAAAAGCTTAAACTCATCTAAATGTATTAAAATCAATTACGTTCATTTACAGTCAAGATTTTATATGTCACATTTAAAGATGGCCCATTGTAATACTTGACTCTTGGCCAATTTTGACAGGAGAACCTCATTATCCACTGAAACAACTCAAAATGTTTCTAGCTGTCTTGTTGAACAAACAAATTCCTACCTTCAGCAAAAAGTTCTAAAAATATAAATGAATACAAGGTAAAGTGATGATAATAAAAGTTATCAAAATAAAGCTATCAAGCAAATATGCACATAGTTCATACTGTGAAAATCAAATTCTGCTTTGCTGCCATCTGTTGGTTGTCTTAGTTCAAGGTTTAATAACATGCGACTCTATCCATGCTATGTGTGAAGGGACTTCAGAAATGCAAATACCAAGGTCAAATTCTTGCTGACAAGAGTATCTATATTGAAGATTAATTTGATTAATGTGTCAGTGCGTGTAGTTTCAAGTGCAACAATTGCTTTGTCCACTTATGATAATTTCTCCTGGGATACTGCAAGGCCAATTGTGAACTAGGAGCAAACAATATCTAGTCAGGAAATCTGATGTACATCTAGACAATTTTGTAATGTTGTATTTTCAGAGGGGCTTGGCAGAGGCAGAGGCTAAGAGGGGAGGGGGGGGGGGGGGGGGGCTTTCCCCCTCCTTCTGCTTCAATTTACTTTTGTTTTTAAAATGCGATTTGAATTTGGCGTAAATATTTATAAATGAATGATACATGCCAATACAAATAAAACAACAACAATGGGGGCAGTCATTCTTATCACAGCTTACATTTCACAATGTTGGTCTGTGCTAAGAGGCAAATGATGATTTCATTTTTTAGATAAAATTAGAGGTATAAAAGAGCACATTTTGTCAGAAACTTTGATCTTTTATATCATTCTTTGGTAAACAAGATTCAATAATGTGATTTGATTTCTCAATTCCAATCTAAAGTAGCCTGTTGATTAGTAGGAGAAGAACCATGAGCACTATATCCTATGTAAAAGAATGGTCAAGGATGGCTCATGTGATGTGAAATATTTCCACCGTATCATATATGAAAAATTGATATGTGTGACCTAAAACAGGGTGTGTCCTGGATAAACATGCCCTGCTAACTTCATGCACCAGTGCAAACATATGCGCACTGCTATGTGTATTGGCCTACAATGTGCTAAAGTCACTGAGAAATGAGAATATCATTGAAGTTAGCCCCAAATTTTTGAAATTTTCTTCTATATCTTGTCATTATTTGTTTAGACAAAAGTGGTTATTTGTTGATATTTTCAGCTTTATAAATAGTTTACCCCATTATTGCATGTGAGCAAAGTCTATACACAGCAAAACAAGAAAGAAGTAGACACAATTTTTGTTAAGATGTTTAAATAAATTTTTAATATGAATTTATGTTTCATATATTATATCGAAATAAACATGAATAAATCCTTTTTAAGATGATATGCAATTGACCAGTTCATGATTAGCACATGTCCCAAATGACCTTGAATATCCACAGATCTTCAAAACATGAAGAGGCCCCACTTTGTACATTTTGAAATAATCACTCCTACAGCGATGGAGGTGCTACATAAATAGCCTTTGTTTCCCCTTTCAAAGAGTACTTCCGCCTGTGTATCATGGAGTGCACTCCTCGTGCATAAATTAATAATGATTACATAACTTCATGAGCATGTTATCCAGTATTTTTTCTCTGTGTATTTTACAATTTGGTCTGCAATGACCTTTATCTGCTCATGCTCAGACTGCAACTATGAACTGGCTTATTGGCGTACCATTTATGCATGAGCGAGCATAGCCATTTAATAATAAATGATTCTCTGAAAGAAAATTGCTGAAATGGGGCATCTGGCCATTCAGATGTTGATGAGCATTGTAGGTATCCTATGGCTCATCCATGAACTTCAGTGGAAAAGAGAGGCATCTTGACAGTGCTTGTCATAACCTAACTTGAGACTACAGTGTTTGTTTTCATTGTTGAACAAGAATGTCTCACAGATGCATTAACATTTCATTAACGTTTGAATGGCTACTTGCTCTTTTTTTTAGCAATTTTCGTAATCAGACATTCTAACGGTTAACAAGTTACATGTATGCCCAATTTGCCCATCCAAGCATGGAAGTTCAAAATTTGATCTCAATCAATGTTGGTAGAATACTGATTTTTGTTTGACTTTATATTTTATTGATGGTGTATATGAAAATTTTCAACGATAAAGAGAGACTACTTTTTTTGTTGTTAATGAGTCTAGATCTATTTTATATATTTTGGGATCTTGTTCCTTTAGCAGATATTGTATTATTTTTAATGTTGCCATTTCTTAATTCTAAAAGAAAAAGGCATTAAATTTCTTTTTTTAATATTTTTATTTGAGTAATTATTTTGAATGAATTTTACTTTATAAATATAATATCATTCTAAACTGGACATTTATAGCATTTGTAACTAACAATTTGTATATTTTGTATAAAGCAATCTACAATATCATCTAGTTTCTTAATTTAAATGTCTCTTTTATAAACAATTTTTGCCTTTGTGTAGAACTTTAGATGTTAGTCAACAAAACAAAACAATTTAATTTCTGAGTTTGAGTGGCTTTTCATAAAAGATTAATTCCCTACATTTTGATGTGTATAGTGTTTTCTCTCCCATTCTCTCTTCTACCTCTTTCTCTTTATCTCTCTTTCTGTTTTTTGTTCTCTCTCTCTCAGTCATACATGTATCTCTTGTTTCTCCCTTTCTACCACTCACACTCACACTATCTTTTCCCCTTTCCATCTCTTGTAAGATAATTCCTCCTTCCCCCTTTCTCTCTCTCTCTCTCTCTCTCTCTCTCTCTCTCTCTCTCTCTCTCTCTTTCTCTGTCTCTCTCTCTGTCTTTCTGTCTCTTTTTCTCTGTCTCTCTTTCTCTGTCTCTCTTTCTTTCTCTCTTTCTCTGTCTCTCTCTCTGTCTCTCTCTCTCTTATCCCCCCCTCTCTCTCTCTCTCTCTTTGTCTCTCTTTTTCTCGCTATCTCTTTCTCTGTCTCTCTGTGTGTCTTTCTGTCTCTTTTTCTCTGTCTCTCTTTCTCTGTCTCTCTTTCTCTTTCTCTGTCTCTGTCTCTGTCTCTCTCTCTCTGTCTCTCTCTCTCTCTCTCTCTCTCTTATCCCCTCTCTCTCTCTCTCTCTCTCCCTCTCTACCCCCTCTCTACCATTTATGCTCTCTGTGACCCTCTCCAACCCTTCATTACCGCTGATCTATGCCATAGATGAAAAGCTTGTATGTTGACGTTCATAATTAATCAAGTCAGCTTTAATGCAATACAATGGGAAGATAACACAAACAATAAACAGGGGCCCTGTGAGGAGCATGTCGATTTCATCAATCAAATCAATCAATCAATCTGATCAGCAGAGTTACCCTTGACATTTCAAGGCAGCCGTGTAAGCAGTGATCAAAATATAGCAAACATCATGTTATAAGCAAATCCAATTAACATTTTTTCTGGTTTTATCATTGTTGGTATATATTTTGCTTGATACCAGACGGTTACACGAATCCACTATGGCTATAGATTAACATGTAGGAGGAAAGATCATTACCCACAAACTTTACAAACAAGGAGTAAGATATTATAAGACAAGTTTTAATAGTGGCTCCCCTTCTTCTTAAGATATATGGTAATGTTGATGCAAAAAGAGATTTCTATGATATTTTACATTTTGCAATCAATGAATGTTGCAATGAAAGGCAAACCATTCTTGGTAAAACAATGTTTTTTGAAATCAACATTGTTCTTCTTAACCCTTGCACAGCAGTGTATTACAGACTGCAAATCATTGTATGTGTGCACTTCATAATCCTTGCTTTTTTAATAGTAATGATTTGTAATTGTAATGTCTAAATATTGATATCAAATTAATTTGATAAGATTTAATTCAAATTAATTTTTGTGATCACCAATCCTAAAATTCCTGACACACTGTGCAAGATGTGTGGAGGTTATTGTAGCAAGAGAAATATATGCTAGTACTGTATGTACCCATAGTGAACTTGAGGGGAGACTGCTCATGATTAGATTGTGCACATTTGAACTTACATTTCAGGCAATTATTGCTTCTTAACCAAAGTCTGTCATTATCATGAAATACCAACACGTAAACCACCCTGCACCTGCGCCCTGTGATCCGACCATTGCACCGCTGACAATTGCTTTGGGCTTTATTCCATGAAATATATACATGTAGGCTTGGGGTTGCAATTGGGTATTAGATTAGGTATAAGGTTAAGGTTAAGGTTAGGTACAGAGTTCAGTTTATGGAATCAATCCAGAGCAATTATCTCAGGAGCATACACCTGTACGTCATACAGCCCCTGCGACTATACACAGCACTACCACATACAGGAATTAATGAGTTTCGTCGCATTCTACCTCAGCCTGCCTGGTTTGATGTCAGAAATCTAATTTTAGGGACTCTTTTTAATTCCTCTCGGCCTCCCTGAATATTGGAACCTGAGGTTTCCATGGTAACCCGGTGGAGGCTATTGGAGGTTGATTGCTTCTAATGAATGAGTGCTTGATCAGGACACAATAGATGCCCTTTGATGGAGGGAGACGCGGAGAGGACGGGGAGATGAAAGATAATGAAAAAATGAAAGGGGTGAAGTCAAGTGTAGACCTTCTGATTAGGATATCAAACCATAATATTCCTGCCTTCCTTTTTTTATGATGTGAGACTCATGATAGTGTCATAACGATATGATTTGAAAATTGCACATACCATATTTTGTGAACTACAAGTAAGGAGGGAGGTGTAAAGCTGCTTACATTTTCTGTTCAATGTTGAATGTTATGAAATCACTAAAAAATGTTTGTACAATACTAATTCAATTATTGGCCTAAAGTGTTACAGACATATATTAGGACTTTTACAACCGTCAATTATTTGAGGATAAAAGTTATTGAAAATATTCAGGCAAGGTATTTTTTATGATTTTGAACTTTTATTAATGCTCATCTTTTATGTTATGAGTGCAAACAGTGTGGATTTGATTTTATGAAAAATATGAATTGATGAACTTTAAGTATTGGTAATGAACAAAGTGTTTTTTAAAAGCAATTTTGAATCGGCGATCAAATGAAGTCTGATATGTGTAGTGTTAAAACAATTTTACTTTAAGTTAATGTACGTCTGCAAGTGTTTATAGAGGGAGGGAGGGAGGGAGGGAAAGTAAGAGAGAGAGAGAGAGAGAGAGAGAGAGAGAGAGAAAGAGAAAGAGGGGAGATGAAATAACCTTACTCCATGGTGAAGTAGAAGAAGTTTCAAGGTGATAGTGTAATGCAGTTAATGTAATTACTGTAATCTACATGTCATGTAAGTTGTAAGGTTTTTAATCAATCCATACAAGATAATTTTTCTTTGAACTACACGTACCGGTAAATGTCAAATTTAATTTTCTGCTTCATGCATTTGTGAATACTTGTGTCATGTAGTTATTTAATTGATTCTGTTATATTTATGTTATGTATATATGCAGTGTAATGTTCTACGCATAATGTTGTTTTCACTACTTTTTTGCATGCTCTCCTCTCCCCCCCCCCCCCTGAATAACCTCCTTTTCTTTACAAATGTTGACATCTCCATGTACCTGTTTACTCAGATGTCGTCTTAATCTTGATAACCGTTTCCTAGGGTCCCTGTTGCCCTGTTTCCACATCATTTTGTCTTCCCTTGGATGAAATGTAAATCAACTGATGCCTCAGTATAAATCCCTATTTGAACATGCTAATGAAATCACCAGCCAGTAACTCTGTCACTTATGAGATGATTTTTTTTTTTTTTTCTTTTCACTTCCCAGTCGCTTCAAGCCTGTGAGTCTATGAATGGATGCCTTCATTGCTTGGCTCAAGAATATCCCTTTGTCAAGTTCTGCGCAGCTAATGCAGCAGATATTCAGACCAGCCAGTTATTTGTAAGTCGAATTGATCTCATTGCTGTCAACTTTTTGTTTTGTTTTTGATATTTTAAATATTTAAAAAAATTAGATATCTACACTATCTTTATCATATTTATATGCATATCTGCAAATTTTGGTAATTGGTATTTACAGATATGAACGATGTCTCTTTTTTAAATTTTGCTTGCTATACAATAAACCTCCATGGATAGAGAGCAGAAGGGTGTATACAGACGTACAGAGAGAGAGAGAGAGAGAGAGAGAGAGAGAGAGAGACAGAGAGACAGAGAGACAGAGAGAGAGGGGGGAGACAGAGGCAAACGGAGAGACAGACAGACAGTGAGACAGGCTGACAGATAGACAGAGACAGAGACAAACAGAGAGACAGACAGACAGTGAGACAGGCTGACAGATAGACAGATAGACACAGACAGAGACAGATTATTAATACATGGGGAAATGTAAAAGGGAAGCTTAATACATTTTTTTTATATTGATTAATATGTGCTCATAGTACTACAATTGTGCAAGCACTTAGCTGAGTTGGGTTTCATACTTTACAACATCTTTTGAGGTCAAAGAAAAACAAAACACTGTACATCAACATGTCAAAGTAAAACAAGAGATTCACACAAATCTAATGTACAAACTTTAAATTCTTTACTCTATTTGATTTGTCAAGGATAACACTTTTGTGCTGAAGTTTGAAGTAGGATACAAAATGTTAATGGAATAAACACCACACGATTCTGCATTCAAACAGTTCAAACAGAAATGCTTTTACAAATTCTCGACAGAAGATGCAAACTTGAGAGTAGTATTGATAATGTTGTCTCTGCGCTGCTGGGCACATTGTGCACTCCGTGTGCGCTTGCATTGCAATTGATCACGCGTCACCTAAAGTGCTTGCTTTCAATGTAACTTAGCACAACATTCCAAGTGTTGGGAGTAAATGTTTCAAGAGTGATGGAAGAGCAGAAGAAGTCAATGACATGAGATCGTTCACCTAGAGAGGGAAGGGCCACGGAAGTGATAATATACGAAGGCAGTGACTCGAAGGTGGCACACTTAGGGTTTGAGGTGCATGGGTTAGGATTGAGAGGGTGTTGATAAGAAGAAGGAGGAATAAGAATAGATAGGTAGAAGAGATAAAAGATAGATTTGATAAGAAATGTGATGAAGGAAGATAGTGAGGAAAAACAGTGATTGCAGAGCATGACTTTCATTCAAAGGAGATACCCTTCTCCTCCCGCTTCTTCTATTTTTCCTTCTTCTTCTTCATCATTTTCTTCTTCCTCTCCATCTTCCTTTTTCTTCTTCTTCTTTTTCTTTTTTCTTTTTTCTTTTTTCTTTTTCTTCTTCTTTTTTCTTCTCCTCCCTTCCTCCTCCTTCTTCGTCTCCTCCTACTTATGTTTCTTCTTTTTTTTCTTTCTTTTTCCCCATCTTCATCTTCTTCTTGCTTCCCCTCCTTAGCTGCAGCAGATTATCGCAAATGAAAGATGGGGTTTACATATATAGGACAAACAACAACAAAATAATGTGACAATGATAAAAGATGTAAAATAATAAGACATCAAAGAAAACAACAAGAACACAAAATAAATAGTAAGAAATATTTTAGAAGTACAGAGGAAATGGGATGGAAAACCATTTTTTATACCAATTTTGTTACTGATTATTCATTCTCATAATTCCATTTTTCTTTACGACAGACAGAGAAAGGCCTCCCTGCTCTCCTAGTCTACAAAGCAGGCCAACTCATCGGCAACTTCATCAGAGTCTCGGATGTGTTCGGTGAAGACTTTTTCGCTACAGAAGTAGAGAGTTTCTTACAAGAGTGAGTAATAATCTTTGCAATTTTTATCAAATGCATGAGCAGTACATACTTTTGCAGAACTTTCTAAAACACACAGCAGAGGAAGATGATATTATTCATGTGCTCGCTCTTGTACTTTGAGAGGATGTACATGGTTGTTGCTATTGCTGTTCTATTATAAGTCTTTATTAATGACCAGGGATAAGTGGGGATGAGTGAAATCCTCAAGGGCATTCTCCAGCAAAAGTGCCCCTCAAGAAAAATAGAGAAATAAATAAGAATAAGAAAAATATGCATGTGATTAATTGCACGTGAGCTTCTTAATTTTTTGTTTCTTGCTGTGTTACAACTTTGGGGGATTTTTAACCAACTAGAAAAGGTTTTGCTTGATGATAACCAGTTCAAGAAGGGGAAAAATCCCACCCCTCTTAAACATCAGCTGGTAACATGCTTGGATGTACTTATGGAAGATGCTATAATGCAATTACTCCAGATGAGGATGTAGGCCGGCAATTAGAGCAATGTCATCTATTCTTCATGGAGAATAGCTGACTATGTCTGCAAGGTCCGTTGGCCTACTTCTTTATCATTAACTGGATTCTTCTGAGATGTATTTAGCACAATTCCCCTCACTTACGGAAGTGCGCGACCCCTGGGACCTTTCATGGCCATATCAACCACTCAGAGCCAGAAGGGTGTTATCGCTGCATTGAAGTGTATGTGTTAATGCCCTTCTGGCTCCAAACAAGATATTTTCCTTTAAATTTTATTTATACTTATAGGAGAGGACATGAGATGAAGTATGTATGGATGTCATTTTGAATTGAAATCTAATTGTATTTAGGGATGAATATAGAATACATGACTTGTGAGATATGGGATGAACATAATTGCGTGTGGTGTAGGGTACGTGTGGAAGGTCATTTATGCTTAGTTTCTATGGTGATGTCAACAGAACATATGGGGAATACTGCTTTTCCTATTTAGTTTCATAGTTAAGAGGAGTCTACTGAATTGTATCTCGACTTTAATGCTATCTATTAGGAAAGTGTCACCAAGAATTTGGTGTGATCATTGGAACTAAATGTTTAAAATGGAGCATGATTTTTCAATGATTCAGGAAAATATATTTATCAAAAAAGTGCTGTACTTGTATCTGGTCAATCTGGTGTAGAAATTAGAAGAGAAACTGTATTGTACTCCAGAGCAACCTTTTCCAACCTTTTTTATGCCTCCGCCACCGAAGGTGGTGCCGGAGGCATCATGTTTTCGGGTTGTCCGTCCGTACGTCCGTCCGTCCGTACGTCCGTCCGTCCGTACGTCCGTCCGTCCGTACGTCCGTCCGTCCGTACGTCCGTCCGTCCGTCCGTCCGTCCGTCCGTCCCGTTTGACCGTTATCACAATATCTCAAGAACCATTTAAGATTTAAACTTAAGACTCAGGAATAGTATTTATCACCATAGGAAGACGATCTGATTAGATTTTGGAGAACGTAGGTCAAAGGTCACAGGTCACAGAGGTCAACTTATGAAATTCCTTGTATTGAGTTTGTTAGCGCGATATCTCAAGAACCATTTGAGATTTAAACTTCAAACTTAAGGATAGTATGTATCACCATAGGAAGACGATCTGATTAGATTTTGGAGCACGTATGTCAAAGGTCAAGGGTCACAGAGGTCAACTTATGAAATTCCATACATTGAGATTGTTATCATGATATCTCAAGAACCACTGGAGATTTAAACTTCAAACTTAGTGATAGTGTGTATCACTATAGGAAAACAATCTGATTACATTTTGGGTTACGAGGTCAAAGGTCACAGGGCTCATTATGTATGCAAAAACAGCTTGTGATCGCGTTATCTGAACAACCGATTGATGGATTCCTGCCAAACTTTGGTCATGTATTTATCTTGCAGAGCTGATGAACTGATCAGATTTTGGGGTCACGAGGTCAAAGGTCAAAGGTCACAGGGCTCATTATATATGCAAAAACAGCTTGTGATCGCGTTATCTGAACAACCGATTGATGGATTCCTGCCAAACTTTGGTCATGTATGTATCTTGCAAAGCCAATGAATTGATTAGATTTTGGGGTCACGAGGTCAAAGGTCACAGCGCACATTGTCTATGCAAAAACAGCTCGTGATCGCCTTATCTCAAGAACCGATTGATGGATTCCTGCCAAACTTAGGTCATGTATGTTACTTGCAGAGCTGATGAACTTATTAGATTTTGGGGTCATGAGGTAAAGGTCAAGGTCATGCGGCTCATTATGTATGCAAAAATAGCTTGTGATCGTATTATTATTAGAACAGATTGATGGATTCCTGCCAAACTTAGATCATTTATGTATCTTGCAGAGCCAATGAATGGTTCATAAGATCAAAGGTCATGGGCTCATTATGTTTGCAAAAATAGCTTGTGGACGCATTCTCATTAGAACTGACAGATGGATTACTATTTAACTCAGGAAATCTTGCAGAGCCAATGAACTGAGTAGATTTTAGGGTCATGAGGTCAAAGATCAAAGGGTCATATATGTATATGAGAAATTGCTTGTAATCACGATATTCTGAGAACATGTTAATGGATTACAATTGAACTTGAATTTGAAAAATTTCTTCCGTTTCGGTTTGTAAAATTGCTCTATGACGGAGGCATCATTTTCGACTGCGCGCAGTCGAATTCCATCTAGTTTTTATTAAGTCACGGCACCATTTTAAGAAATAAAAAGTTTTGCGTCACCTCAATCCCAAATTCACAGAAGATTCATTTTGCATCATCCTGGCACTCATCAAGTAAAACCACATTTGTTTCCAAAGTTTGTGATTAAGCAAAGCGTGCAAGGCAACAAGTAGTGACATTTTAATATGGTAAAAGTTTAATTTTGTAATCAACACAATGAATAAGATATAAAATAATGTATGTGTGTCCTTTGCCACTATTTACACGAATACAAACATCATATATTTGGTCATCTTGGTTCTTGATACACGTTTAAGTGGATATTCAAGCCTTTCGTAACCCAGAATTATTATTTTAAATGTAAAGAGAGAGAGAGAGAGTGTAGTGAATGAGCGTGGTAGCAACGTAATTTCAATAGAAAAGATATTATTCGGGTACCTTACTGTCAAATAGACTCGTGCACCTCCAAGTCTTTGCCCAAATAGAGAGGTATTCAGGCACTTTGCTGTCTGAACCCTTCCTGTTTCTCAATGTTGCGAGAGAGTGGAGATAATATCTTTAAAATGTTATTTCCTCATGAAATGATATACTGTAGTGGTTTCTCATGTTTGGTTTTCACGAAATCGACATCATTACCAACTTCTTTCGCAGCCCCCGTAGAGATTCACCCCATTTGAAAAACTCTGCTCCAGATCTTTTTAGAGTTTATGTAGCAGAAAAAGTTATGGTCAATTTGTCATTAATAGATTCTATTTAAAATTACCCCCGACCCACTTATATTAAATTGTCTTGCAATTCCACTCCAGTTCAATATAAATGGTAATGAGTATGGTATAAGGGGGTTGTAAGTAAAAGAAAGAAAGAAAAAATGAAAGAATGAAGGAAAGAAAGGGGGAAATTAAGTCTTTTTTTTTCTTCTTCTCCTTATAGCTACCAAAATCATTTCATGTATTCATGAGTTTATTACTCTGAAATAATTCCTGATAATGATGATGAGGTCATCATAATAATTATAGTACTATTGGTTACAATTGTTTCAACAGAAATTCAATTTTCATATATCGATTTTATTCTCATTGCTACGAACGATTCGTCATAATTCTCACAGACCTTCAGAATCTTTCACCTCTATCCCTGCCTTTCTTCTGCAATGATCGCATGCCCTTGCTAAATGATAATTGACGTTTTGACTGATGGTGGAATTTAGGAAATTGATTCAATGCATCATCCAATTTTAGATGTACTTGTACTAATGTAGCACTTGGAAGTGGAACTGACACAGAAACAAAAAAGTGCAATGTGTGTATATTTCTGAATGATGTATTTTGAGTGTACTCTTTTGAAGAAAAATAAAGCACATATCTTTTTAATCTGAATAGCAGGAAGGGAATTCTTATGAAGTTGTAATGACCATTCCAAAAATTTTGTCTGTAAAATATAGTTCTTGCCAAATCTTTCTTATTTCAAAATTTGATTTGTTATACCTTGCTTGTTATATCCATGGGATGCATTTAGATGAAAGGAACAACAGAAATTACGTCGTCTGTTTAGAGCCAAAAGGGCATTAACTCATATACTTTAGCACAGAGTTAATGCCCTTTTGGCTCTGAACTAATGATCAATTTAAGTACAAAGTACGAGACAGTTCATGTTTTGAAGGATTTCATAACTTCAAATATTGAAATGCTGATCTATCACAAAAAGGATGATTATGTCATACTTGCCATTACAAAACACATGCAATATTTTACAGTTATGAAACATGATCTACTCACACGATCTACTCACACGATAAGAGCACATATACATGTAATGCAAATAAATTACCTATCATGGTATAACATCTCAAGTTCGACCTGCCCGAAATAATTCATTGACAGCAAGCAATATCTCACTCTTCTCATAGTAATATCCCTGAATAACAACATTGATTTCTAAATTCAGCTTCTATTACGTTGGAGATCTCTCTCTCTGACCTCTCTCTCTGACCTCTCTCTCTCTCTCTATCTCTCTCTCTCTCTCTCTCTCTCTCCCCCCTCTCTCTCTCTCTCTCTCTCTCTCCCCCCTCTCTCTCTCTCTCCCTTGCTCTTGCTCCCCTCTTTCTATATTTGACAAAATTATGTTTGGTACACATATATATGGAGCCAGGAATCTACCAATGTCAAAATTCATCACTCCTGGGAAATTGTGAGATACTTTTATGAGATAGGGACTCCAGTTTACATTTTGTGGGTGAAAGGTTTGTGCGCTGTGTGGAGTAAAAAGGAATGTATATGTACATGTATATGCACATGTATAAATTCAAAGAAGGATTGTACCTGAATGTGATTCTACTTCATGAAATATTACTTTCCAGGCATCAAAGAAACAAAAATTGTTGCTGAGCGATTTGGTTCTTGTAGCCCCCCCCCCCCCCCCCCCCCCCCCCAAAGAAAAAAAAAATAATAATGTTGTAATTATCTGTTTTGGGTTATGTTTATTTCGTTTACAATTTGTTTTGCATATACGCACCTCTTTTTTTATTCCTTATACGTATTACACATTTGGAGCTATAGATTTTTGATGTAATACTGAACACATGGGTGTATTTCTGAATTCATCCAATGGCCTGTAATAAAAGTGTGTGAAATCTAGCAGTCCTATTTTGATTCTATATCTGATTGAAAATAATAGAATTACAAAATACAAATAATAAATGAATGAGCAGTGAATATAAAATCAACATGAAAATAGATACATGTAAAGCAGAGCAGTTTTCAAAGAGGAGTTATGAGATTAATCAAGTAATTAATACAGCTCCTTGTGTAATGAGAACAAAAATGAAAGAAAATAAGACAGGGTGTTTAGCTTAAAATTGTAAGGAAGCAAGTAATAGTGATGAAAGATTCGAAGAGAAAAAGAAGGAGAAAGAACATTTATATAGGGTAATTTCCATGACTAGTACTATAAGCAAAAGCATGATATTTTTTCCAGCATATTTGATGTCTCTAGAGAAGCATTTGAATTTTGAAACGAGAGAGTTGAGTAAAAACAAAAGAGAAGAAGAAAAATAGAAAACGGAGTGAGATAGAAATGGGAAATAAACCACCCAGCAAAACACTGCAGAGCAAAACAAGGTACTGGTATATGGATGCTGGGATAAGCATCAATTGGTATTCTATGAAAGTGGTGTGCATAGATGCAATAAAAAAAAATCATGCATTCCATCTGTTGAAACAGCTGCCCCTCTCCGCATCCATTTCAATAAAATAATCGTCTGGCGTTCCATATAATATTGTTGGTTTTGTCGAATACCATACATGTAGGCACGATGAGTTTATTCTTCCTCTCTGTCGTATTCTCAATTTCAGGAGTTATGGGGCAATGAAAATGATTAGTCTCTAGTGAATAGAGGGAAGAACAAGCTGATCTGAAAGACATGCTAAGCATTTTCCAAAGCAATGTTTTATCTGTTTAATGCATGATTCTTTGTATTTTCCCACTTTCAATATGCCATCTCTTTGCAGTTTTTTTCTTCAACCAGAAGCAAAATTATCATTTATAAATCTGAACAAATTGGGTATAAAACCAAGTTAAGTAGACTAAATAGTAAACATGCATATTGTAATGTTAGAATTATAGATATGAAGAGTAATATGATGAAAATGAAGACTACAAAAATAACAAAAGATTTTGATAAAGATGATAATATCAATCAACTCTTTGCGCTAAACGCTGTACAAAGGTATTTGAATAACATTGTGTATTTGTATTGCTTCTTGAAAGAAAAAATCCGTACGTGCACAATCTTTTGACAATGGTTTAGAATCATCGTTTCTGTGAGGCTCAATTGTGGATAGAGGAAGTGGTTACTGGTTAGTAAAGCTCTACTTTCATAAAGTTCAATTACTCCTCAGAGACATGCATATATTAGATGGCTTCAGAGAAAGACATATAATACCACATACTCTATTCGGTGCAACTTTGGAAATATTGTGCAGTGTTGTTTTTATTGAGCGGTATGACTGTTATAAGGCAGGAGACACACAGTAGGCCCGTCTTCATCAGCTCGAGATTGCCAAATAGCCCGCTTTTTTGTGATTTGGGAAATAATCCAGAAGTTACAAATCACGTCTTCATCAGCTCGAGACTTGACCTCAAACCTTGAAACTCGAGCTCAAGAAATTAGCTCGAGACATTTTGCTCAGCGTTTGCCAATAGTGCAAGTCTTCGGGCTGGTGAAGACGCACCAGACAAATAACGGGATATTTTGCAAACTAGGATGATTATTTTGACCAAATATCCCGCTAATTGCAACTTCGGGCTGATGAGGACGCAAATTAACTGGATAATTTGCGATCGGTATAGTTCAAATAGCGGGATATTTGGCAATCTCGAGCTGATGAGGACAGGTCTTATGAGTCGTCTGCTACATGTAAGAGCCAGAAAGGTGCTCATTGTTATCCTGCAGCAAGGAGTAACGCCCTTCTGGCACTCAGCAGACGATAATGCCCTCTGTTACCATGCAGACTTTGAAAATTGATTTTGATTTGTTTGTAATCTTCCCTCGCATCTCACCAGAAGTGAAAGATGAATTGAACGGTGGATGTATTTATTTCAGCAGGATAGCATTTCAATCCTGTTTATTCAACGCTCCATCCGTTGGACTGGTTTTTTCACGTTTCCCTCTTTGTTTTTCCCATGAGCCTTGTCCCACATTTCAGACCATGATTGTGAATATTTCAAGAGTTGAACAAATTTGTCCTACTTTCATGAGTCTGAATTATAAAAATGTGTGCCTCGATAATTTCATCTGCTCTATTTTCACCCCTTGGGTTTCTGTTGAGGGGCATGATCAATGTTAAACAGGAGGAGAAGTATAGCATGTTTGGTCGTTATTGTTATTGGAACTTTTGCATTTTTAGTACGTGTGGATTGCATTTCTGTTAACGTAAATGAGGTGTACAAGAAGATCACATTTTAATTTTTATTGAAACTGAGTCAATGTGTAAATTTGTTTGACATCTATAATTCATGTAATCATATCCTCATGAATAATGAATTTTACTCTTCAAAGAGAATGACAATTGTACCTAAGGGCATTCTAACTTTCAGATGAGATTTGAATAATTGAAATACATAATTGGAATAAGTGATTTTTATATTAATGTTGATTAATTGGAAAATGGCATACAAATTTATCAGTGTGGAAACTGATGAGGGTACAATATGCATACATGAAAAATAAAAGTAGACCTAAAAACATCATGTTTAGGATATAGGAATAATAATAATAGCGTAGTTTGAAGTCAAGTAATTATAAATGAATGAAGAAATGGTTAAAGTGAAAGGTTATTGAAAAGTTCTTATTCAGTAAATAGAGTTATTTTCTAAACAAAAGCCTAGAAAATGATTTTCCTTGAAATATTGGAAGAAAAAGGCTGTTGGTTTTGTACAGACATTTATAATACCTTCAATACCATATTTACAACAAAAAAAACATGTTGATTGTATGTCCTCGTAATAGTCATTCATCAAATATAAGAGTTTTGTATGTGTCTTCTTCATTTGAATCAATGAGTAATATCAAAGTAATTGTCCAAAATTATATTCAACAAGCAAAATGTAACCATTTTTTTCCCTTTCTCTCTTTTTACTCTTTTTATCATTTTGTATCTTTCTCTCTCCTTTTTTCTATAACTGTCTGTCCCTCCCTCTCTCTCTGCCCCTCCTTTCTTGTCTTTCATGTGTTTCTCTGTGTCACTTTTTACCTCTTACCTCTTTCTGAACTTCTTTTACATTTCTCTTTTCTGTTCCTACGTGTGACACTACCGGTATGCATCTTTCCTCCATCCCATCGTCTTCCTCCTCTTCTTCCCTTCTCTTCTTCCCTCCTCTCCCCCCCCCTCCTCTCCCCCCCTCCTCTCCCCCTCCTATTCTGCAGGCATGGCTTGCTGCCGAACAAAGACGATGCAAAGGTCATCCCAGGTCACGTGGAAGAAGATGAGGACAGTGACCTTGAATTAGACTGAAGTGGAGTGGAGACCCAGATTTTCAAGAGATGGGGTTGTGCTACGATTTCATTCCACCTTACATCCAATACCCTCTTCATGTTGTCTGGAAAAAAGTATGATACAGTCTGCCATAATTTGTAAGCATTGTGCTTTTGTATCTATTGTTTCAATGCCGCAAATCTTGCTATTTTTGTTGTTGGCAGATGTATGTGTACGTTGGAGTGAAGATTGCATGATTGCTCCGAACCAAGGGGTAGGATGTAATCGCCAGCAGCATAGATTTGTTTTGCGTGCTGCTAGCAAGTGCGGAAAGCAAACGTTTTAACCTTTCAAGTGAGAGTCTTTTCCTTTCACATTGCCTGCATGTTACAACAAATTGCGGCCTCTTGGCAGATAATGTACCATTTAGAGGTCTGTGATTCGGGAGCGTAAACTTTAAACATCAAATTCAATGAAACAAGCTTTTTTTCAAGCTTCACAATCTCTTTATATGAATTCAGTCAATATGAAAGGGGTATTGGACAAAAGTACTTTTCCAAGAGTGGTAGATATTTCCGGAAAATCACCCCTCATGGAACGACCAGGTGCATCGCGCTACAAAGTGCGGGCACTGTACATTGGATTTACGGTACTTCATTCCAGATGATGTCTACATACAAATTTCAAGTACTCTGTATCAGTATGGGAGGAGGAGGGGGGTGGGGGGGGGGGGGAGGTTTCTTCAACTTCTGTAGGTGTATAGGCAAAATTCAACTCTGTCCTAATCTGATGTTGCCTGCCAAAATGTCAACTTTCAAATACTGTGAGCAAGGGAAGTGAGTGAGCAAGAATGTAACGCGTTATAATTGCTGCAAGGTAATTTTATGTAAGAAATGTTCTAGAAGTAGTATATAAAATCTAAGTAGACTACCCTGCTGCCCAAATGTTTAAAGGGTTGCCTGAATAATAGCAATTTCTCAATCTTGCGGGGCTGCTGCCTCCCCAGCCTGTACATTCTCAACTTTTTTTAGGAGCTTTCTACTTTGATCTGAACAAACGAATGTCAAAGCAGTTTCATCAATCAACCAAGCCATATTTAATGTTAATACAGTGTACGCCTATGTAGAAAGCATTGTCTTTCGCAGAATGTTTTGACCGGTATTTCATGTGACTCTTATTTGATAGGTGCTGAATTAATTGTCTCATTTTCATTTCCATTACAGTTTTCACTTGCAAGAAAAACACAATATAGCTGTGTATAACTTGTGGCTTATGGTATGAAAAATGTGATACAGTGCACTTTGTCTGCCTCTGTTATCAAGTCCAATTTTGTTTCTCTCTCCAAATTTGAATAACTGACTTTCATGTTGTGTCATATAGGGCTTTATAATACCACCACAATTTCTCTTTCTGTGATTTTGTGACTGCATGATGATGATTACATGCAAGCTGTCCCATTTTAGAAATGGAACTTTTAATATTGATGAGTTTACGTTTTAATCTTATGAATAATATATGTTGTACCCTAATAGTACCTGGCAGGGTTTCTACTTTATAATTAGGTTTCAAATTTCACCTTGTTAAAATGGATATGGTAAAGATCAAATTGTGTGTGAGGTGACTAAAATGAACTGGCTCTCATATCTCATATCTCACCAGTATTTGTCATGTAGGACTTTGGGGGTTTCTTGTCTCATTTAGCAAGATGTAAATCGGTTTGCTTGTAAATCTTTGGGATTAGAGTAATCCCTTTATTGAGGTATATCAAGTGGTCTGGAATGCAAATGAATGAGTACAATTTGCATGCATCAATTTATTATTGATGGCAAACTGTAGTATATTGCATGGGTAACCAAAGTCTTTATACAGGCCGGTCTAATTAACCCTCAAATGCCACACAAATAATCTCCCTGCGCTACATTGTAGTTTTCCTGGGATAGATAAACCAATGGCTTTGATATTATGTAAATATTTCCAGTGCAAGGTTAATTTATATTGGTGTTATGAGGGTTGTCATGGAGCTATGGGTAAAAATGGGTAATTTTGCAAAGCCATTATGTTGCATAAAGAAATCCTTTCTCTATCGGTGCCTATTGTTTTGTGCAAAATTGCATGTGTGGCAAACAAAAGTCCATGAAGAGGTGCAGAAAGCAACCAAAGTGTTAATAATGTTGCATAAATTTGTTGTAGAATTTTTTTCTTTTCTTTACCTGACCAGTTTTAGGCTGGGTAAAGGAGGAGCAAAGTCCTTAGGTTAGACAAATGGTTATACAAGTGATATGTCATAATAATGATGACAATTTATGATTGCAAAATTGTATAATATTGTATGTGTGTGTAATACTGTCTTATTTATGATTGATAACATGTTGTTAATGCTAATTCAGTCCTAAATGTAATTAGGAACTTTGTAATGTTAGAATTATAGATATGAAGAGTAATATGATGAAAATGACTACAAAAAGACTACAAAAATAACAAAAGATGTTGATAAAGATGATAATATCAATCAACTCTTTGCCTAACTATTTACCTTGATGTGCAGGGGGGGGGGGGGTCGGACTATACCATTTAAGATCAAGTAAATTCGTATCTGACAGTTTTCTCAAACAAATTTTTATACTGTAAAGTGTAAATGGAATCATAATATGATGGAAAATGTTGTAGTGATCAGTGATCACCATGCTATAAGTACTTGCATTACAAGATGTTCATCAACTATTGTGGTATGTTAAATTAGGCACATCTTCAAGTTGATGTTTCTATATATCTATAGTAATGTTGTTGATAGAGTCGTAACAGGTGAGCTAATACTTTCAACATCAAAATCTCTGTTTAATAGAGCAGAAATGTACGTGGATGAACAAAAAATGATATCTTGTCTCTTGTCTATTGAGTCCTAGAGAAGATTTGTTGACTCAGCCGGTAGTCTCGAGATATAGGCAAGAAAGGTTGATTATTAAACTAGCCCACTTTTCATTATCCAGACCTGGGACCTGTTTCACAAAGCTTTTTTTCAATGATAAAAATCAGTGACATATCTGCTGATAACCAATCAGAAGCGAGGATATCTCTAGCTAATAACAAAACCTGTCATTTGTCACTGATGACAAGTTCGGTGAAATGGGGCCCTGTCGATGGATAGTCGATTGAATACATTTGCACTGCATGCCAAGGACAATAGTACAACGGGTCCAGCGTCTTTTTTTCTGTTTTGCTCTTTGTTTGACGCAAGTTATCTCATTTATTATGTAGGATGGACTGCTCTCAATTAGGTTTCTAGATGAATAATGAAACAGTTTTGAATTGAATTGTCTGTAGGGTAGACAATAGGAAGCTGTATTGCTTGTAGGTAATCCTTGAGCCTGATTTGAAATTATCAAAATCAGGATCTTTGTTTTAAAGTCATACTGTTCACATACTATATTTCGAGGTATCAAAGTTTGTAATTTTGCCAATTGTAATGAAATCTCTGTAGGACTTCAAAGTGTGCAATACTCTCTGATTATCATGAAGTGTTTTTTCCTATGTGATGAACATAAGAATGAAATCATGCAGTTAACAACTGACTGTTTTGTTTTTTCATCTATTTTTATGTTTTAAATGTTAAAAAGTCATAAGTACTGTACATCAACATTATGTATGCTGGAAAGAGGCAAGGTTTAATGGCATATAAATAAATGCACAAAACTAAAAGTATATTATGAAATCTATTACATGTAAGATGTATTCCATTGGAGAACAAGATCCTAACTTCTGGATAAAAGATTGATATGCTTGGCTGTTTTTACATTTCAAAAACCACACTAGAGAAAACAATTTTTGTTTAAACAAAGTCTTTGCTTGTAAGTAGTGTGTTTAGTTATGTGTTTTTTAATCCATATGAAATAAATGCTTAAACATGCTAACTGTTGTAAATAGTAGATATTGATATTCTTTAATGGAGAATGGTGAATGAAGAAATTGATAGAGTCATGTAATCAGAACAGATGAACATTGTCTAGGGAAAGAGAGAGAGACGTGTGGATTTCAAATAAACACGAACATTTAATGAGGATGAGAGAGATAGAGATAGAAATATAGAGGGAGAGATATATAGAGAGAGGGAGATATAAACAGAGATAGTGAGATAAAGATAAAATGGAGAGAGAGAGAGAGACATGCAGATTTCAAATCAACACGAACATCTTTCTTAGATTTGAAGAAATGGAAAACGAAAACAACTTCAAGGAGGATGAGAGAGATAGAGAGTGGATATATCAAGAGAGATAGTGAGATAAAGATAAACTGAAAAATGGAGATAGGAGAGTGGAAGAAGAGGTGCGGATGGGGAGTCAGAGAGAGAGAGAGAGAAATGTGGAGGGGGTACAAGGATGCATAGCTTGTGATATGGGCATTAGTCCTAACTTTAATGGAGTATTAAGTAACAATGACGACATAATTACACAAGAGGGGCGTGTGACAGATAATAATGACCCACACTCATTAAGTTCATATCTACCGTAGATCATTATCGTGGTGATGTACAAAGGCGTTGCAAGCTAGGCTAGTGATCATTTTTCATTTATTGATCATCCTGTAAACGTTTACAATTACTCCTTCTGTTATTATAATAGTTTCAGATACATCTGTGGTGACACGGGGGAGTTTAAACTTTATAGGGAAACGAACAAAAAATGGGGGAAAACCACGGGAGTCATTTTCAACAGCTTTTAGAAGTTGCTCATGGGTGGCGTTTGAGTGGGGGCTGTAAGAGCATGAGAAATCCCCGAACTGTAACATTAAAAGGAACATGTGTTATTCGTTTTTAAACTATTAAACATTCTCCAAAACCTGTCAATAATTGTAGAAGCGACGAACAGATTAGAACCTCATGCCCCTCACCCTTCCCCCTCCATTCTTTAGGATATTGATTATTTTTATATTATGTCGTACAAAATAAGCCACTAGCTAATACCTCCTGCAAATGGATTATGGATATCCTTTAAACCTCTTATCGTTTAACATGTTTAACATGTTTAACATACAAGTGCATTCATCTTTCCATTGTAAACCATGTTTCCCCCGATGTAGTATCATGTTCGGCACCACCTAACGTATTGCTAAGTTGTATCAAGAAAAGGTAAATATTTTGTGGTGTACATTAGGCTATCGTTCATCTCATTTGGCAAAACAAAAATATGTTTCCCCCAGTTGTTTCCTCCTTCAAACTTGGCACCGTAGGAAACTGATACGGCAACAAGCATCTGTCTACATTTCAAATTAGCCCACTCCACTATGGCTAGGGCTAGGGAGAAAGTGCACTACACTGCTCCATTAGGTCAACCAACTTTGTCGTCAAATTGACGTCATCACGTGCCTATGCTTCTCAGTGTCTGTAGCGGTCGGGATATCCTTACGATTTGGTTCTCCAGTTACTTCAAAACCTCATCACTTGTTTCTATCTTAACCCGCACCCCACCCTTCTTATCTTCTTCGATTTTCAATATCGTTATACTTCATCTCTCTTTTCTAGTCTCTTTTTGTTTATCTCGATCTATCTCAGATAATTATCTCTCGCTCTCTCTCCCTTCCTGTTTTTGCCCTCGTTCCTTCCTTCTCTTGATCTCCGAGTACACCCATCTCTCTCTCTCTCTCTCTCTCTCTCTCTCTTTCTCTCTCTATGTGACTCTCTCCCCTCTTTCTCTCCTCCTCTCTCCTCCTCTCTCTCTCTCTCTCTCTTCAGTCTCTCACTCACCCGCGACATTTCTCAGTCTGTCTTTACCTCCGATCACTCGACCTTCCTAGGTCGAGGCCTCAAATCTTGAGTGTATCTCATTTGCTTTCACATGCGATAAGAAGCTATTTTGAAAATACGATTTTAGTCCCCTATAGGTCTTCATGAATGTCAGCACTTAATAATATGTTGTAGTTTCCAATGCACTTTTATAATTTTCAGATCTTGGCTTTCTTCCTTATAACAATATATTCATCAAGTATTCAGCATGTCCATTATGTCGTATATACAGGAAATATACAAAGACAGTATGGGCTATTAACAGACTTCACAGAGGACAGCAACGCCCACCTTAATTTTCTCCATGTATTGTCTATACGTGGAGGTATTGTGATATATAGTGGTTCATTCACTTGACTCTCAATCCAAGAGTTGATGGTTCAAATCCCGGCCCGGCACTGATATCCTGTGGCATGACATTATTCTACATGCGCAATTCTCAACCCATTCAAGTGGAAATGACTACCTGCAATTGCTGGGATAATAAGAATTACAGAGTCTTCCATTGGGTATACAAAATAATTGTCATTATTATTATTACTATTATGATTATCATTATTAGCAATACCTTTACATCAACGTTACCAGCTAAAGCAGCAGCAGCAACGCGAACACCACTTCCACCACCATCACCACTACCACTACCACTACAACCCACCGCTTGAACCAACACCATCAACACCAACTCCACCACAACCCATTACTTGAATCACAACACGCCCATCTCACAACCCCCACTACGACCACCACCACCATCATCATTAGCATCACATCGTCATCATCGTCATCCAGGGCTGTCGTCATCATCATCGTCACCATCATCATCACCATCATCACACTCACCATCAACACCCAATCAGCCTTTCTATCTTCATAAGCCCTAACAACATTCACACCGTCAACACATCAACGCCCCCCCCCCCCCCCTCCTCCAGCAACATAAGGTCTGAGAGACGGACATACACCCTTCTAAACCTGTATACTTCTCAACCATGGAGGAAACGCCTGAGGGTGCTTTTAAGGAGAAACAAGATTTGAAGTGGGTTGAGTTGAAATGTATACAGTGCACCAGGTGTGTAACGTGAGTAACCCGGTCAGTACCGCGTTAAGGATGCATTCCTATGCATCCTGTGTAGGAAAATAACTAGTGGTCGAAAATATGCATCTTGTCGGCAAAATGGTCAACATGGGACCAACTTTATGGGCGCCGGAGGAGGGGGGGGGGTGGGGGTGGGGTGTCCATCATGATAAATGTTCAAAATGGTCTTCGCCGCTCTCCGTGTATGGTCATGCAACATGCATTCCATTATGATATAGTCTAGTCACTGCCTCACTAGCCTCTGGTAAAATCAATACGCCTACACGAAAGAAAATTAAAATGATTGCGTTAACAATGTAGAAGGTATGTCAGGTCATTAAATTTTCAATTTACAGCAATTGATCGATAGGTATAATGTATGACCTTGACAGGTTTGATCACATGAGCATTTTTTAATCTCTCATTTTTTATTCTTTCTCGAAAGAGGTTTTGACGCCGATATGCTCATAACCAGCTGCCGGTAGTCGGTTATAGAAGATAGTGTGAGGAACCCTTCACGGCAATGGATGCTCTGGGCGAGAAGATTGAATACCTTCACCTTCAGTGAAGATAACGGTAAACTTACTCTTTCGCAGAATCTATCGTTCATCACGCGGATCCCAATAGCAGTTGAAAGTCTATTCTGTTTAGCCACTAGATGAATAAATTATGCATTCAAATTTGTAAATCGGAAATCTACGAACTAGTAATTTGTTCCAAAATCATTGACATATTGAAACATTTGCCTTTGATATTTTGATGAGGCTATTATTGAATTCGGAGATATATATTTTTGGGGTGGGGTATTATTATAACCATTCTGTCAGGTATACTTTAAAGATTTTATGAGTGAATCATAATTTTTGCACGATCGAAGTCACATTATTTTGTAAAGGCACAATGCAACCTAGGCGAATTCGCTTCTACTCTGTGAGTCCATAGAAGATTTCCTTTTCGTGAATCATCTCCTTCTCTTTTTTGAGGTCACAACATCTTTTATTCTTCCAACAGATCAGTCATCACTCCTCTCATGCATGATTGACAACATTTTGATTATCGGGTCAAATAATTCACCTTGAAAATTATTGATGAGAACCATTCTTTGCATTGAACCCCACTCATGCATACCGACGTGTGCCAAAGACCAAGTAGGTATTTTGAAGTTCAAATATCTTCGTCATCGATTTTCGATTGTGATCTGTTTTTTGTTCAAAATGACTCAGGACATCGAGGGCTTGAGATGGCAGTAATTTTAATCATATTTCTTGTTTGGAAGTGATCTTTTGTCGAGGGAAAGTAGGCTAGTTTTGTTTTCTCATATTTTATTTAGATATAGGTTTTCTTTCTTGCGCAAAATGTCAAACGTTCATCTAATTTGAATAGAATCCAAACCGCTGGAAGCGAGACACAAAAAATATGATAGAACTGAACTGCGTCCACACGACTTTTCCATTCTTTATAAAAACCTGTACACTTTCTAACCAAAACCCCCTTCTAATTAAATTGGGAGGCTTTACCCGAGGAACTTTACAGGGAAACATCTCCGAATTTGTTTGAAAGGGGGATATACAATAAGAAGCTTTCTTGTTAATCAGTTAATCAGGAAAAAACATGTATATAATATAGACAGCAAGTATCTTAAATTCAGATTCATTTAGAAAGACTTTTTTGTATACGTACTAGTTTTCTTCATCTAATGAACTATTCATGACGAGAGAGAGAGAGAGAGAGAGAGAGAGAGAGAGAGAGAGAGGGGGGAGAGGGAGGGAGAGAGAGAGAGAGAGAGAGAGAAAAAAAAAAAAAAAAACCTCCAAGAAAAAACAAATTGCTCTTTGAAGGACGAATCCCTCATCCTTTTCTTCCCAGAATGTGCAATCAAGACGGCGTAATAGAGTTCTAACAACCTCTGTGCATCAATCAAACGATGGGTCCTTTCAAGTTTGTAATTCGTTTAGAAAAAAAACATACCTTTGAGGTGACGGTCATATTACCAGGTCAGATAATGTTTATACAAGTACCTTCGCGTAATTTTCTTGTAAGGTTAATCGAATCGGGAGAA